AATATTTGTAATGTTAAAGTAGAAAATACAGTTACTAAAAAAGAAATAGATATTATTGTATAGAGAAAAATAGAAAAATGGATAAATTATTAAGGGATTGAGAAAGTATAAAAATAATAAATATATATAATATATGAATTTTTTTACATAATAATACTCCCTCCGTCCCATAAGAAGGATATCATGATATTATTTTTTAATTTAGTAATTTACTATCTACCTAACATAATTGATACTATGTTTGTTTGGGGGATTGGATTTTATATCCACTATTCATCACATCCCCCTCCAATTAAAACATCAAATCAAACACCTATTTTTTATTTTTTATATTATACTAATGTTATGAAAATTTCAGGAAATCAAGATGAGAAAACAAAGACAATAGAACACAAGAATTTGGTAACCCAGTTCGATCACAAAGATCTACGTCTGGGGGCGCTGCCAAGCCAGGAATTTTACTATAAAGTACGCAGGCACACATGTTAAAGTGAGAATACATGGATATTTATAGCCTAAGCCTTTGACAATAATATCCAAATCATATCTCTAAAATCTAAAATATAATATCCAAATCATATCTCTAAAATCTAAAATATAATATCCAAATCATATCCCTAGATTTTTAGGATATAATCAGGCTTCATATCCCAACAATCTCCCACTTGAAGACTGATTTCATCTTCCACTTCAACATACCTCATCCAATCTCCACTCCCCACAATTCGGTGTTCTGATTCGAATCATTCCTTTACCTACAATTTTCAGTGTCTCATCATCTCCAAGATAGACAACACCAAAATTACCTGTGGTATAGGATTACATGATTCTCGAATCACTGCATGAGTGGAATGACGTTCGACCAAAATCCATGACTCCATTGGACTGCTGACGCTCAGAATCAGCGCATCGGATATCTCCTCCGTTGCGTTTGCTGAACCCTGATCCTTCTCCGGCGCCCTGCACTGTCGTTTCAAGTGCCCCTTGCAGTTCCAATATACCACCTGACTTGCATCTTCCTTGTCCTTATTCTTCGGCTTCAACTTTGACCATTCTTGATCTTCACCCTTTCCTTTTGCCTCAAATCTAAATTCAGTCGACACATTCTCCCAAAGGGTTAGTCGAACCGCACTCATCGTCTTCCTGTTGATCTTCTTGTATTCGGCTTCATCCATGTCTTCGGATTTCTCCTTCAATACCGCATCTAGATCTTTACCATTCATGTAATCTTCTATATGCATATTTTAGAAACCGAAGTTCATACCATCGAATACCTTGACAACACGACGATCACCCATCTTGACTCCCACAAACAAACCTAAGGTTCACTTGATATGAGAGCACATCGGATATTCCGCTGCGTTTGCCGAAACCCTTATCCTTCCCTACCAATCTTGCACCGCCTATCACAAAGGGACTCGCTGCCTGACCTACCAGTCGGGACCGACCCAACACCGCCAGGAGACTTTCGACACAAGGTACCTCCGCAGGTCACAAGGGATTCCCACAACGATCCAACGTCCGATTCCTCTCAATCCACCCTATCAACGAACTAGGCTCTGATACCACTTGTTATGAAAATTTCAGGAAATCAAGATGAGAAAACAAAGACAAAGAACACAAGAATTTGGTAACCCAGTTCGATCACAAAGATCTACGTCTGGGGGCGCTGCCAAGCCAGGAATTTTACTATAAAGTACGCAGGCACATGTTAAAGTGAGAATACATGGATATTTATAGCCTAAGCCTTTGACAATAATATCCAAATCATATCTCTAAAATCTAAAATATAATATCCAAATCATATCCCTAGATTTTAGGATATAATCAGGCTTCATATTCCAACAATCTCTCACTTGAAGACTGATTTCATCTTCCACTTCAACATACCTCATCCAATCATATTGTTGGGATATGAAGCCTGATTATATCCTAAAAATCTAGGGATATGATTTGGATATTATATTTTAGATTTTAGAGATATGATTTGGATATTATATTTTAGATTTTAGAGATATGATTTGGATATTATTGTCAAAGGCTTAGGCTATAAATATCCATGTATTCTCACTTTAACATGTGTGCCTGCGTACTTTATAGTAAAATTCCTGGCTTGGCAGCGCCCCCAGACGTAGATCTTTGTGATCGAACTGGGTTACCAAATTCTTGTGTTCTATTGTCTTTGTTTTCTCATCTTGATTTCCTGAAATTTTCATAACAAGTGGTATCAGAGCCTAGTTCGTTGATAGGGTGGATTGAGAGGAATCGGACGTTGGATCGTTGTGGGAATCCCTTGTGACCTGCGGAGGTGCCTTGTGTCGAAAGTCTCCTGGCGGTGTTGGGTCGGTCCCGACTGGTAGGTCAGGCAGCGAGTCCCTTTGTGATAGGCGGTGCAAGGTTGGTAGGGAAGGATAAGGGTTTCGGCAAACGCAGCGGAATATCCGATGTGCTCTCATATCAAGTGAACCTTAGGTTTGTTTGTGGGAGTCAAGATGGGTGATCGTCATGTTGTCAAGGTATTCGATGGTATGAACTTCGGTTTCTAAAATATGCATATAGAAGATTACATGAATGGTAAAGATCTAGATGCGGTATTGAAGGAGAAATCCGAAGACATGGATGAAGCCGAATACAAGAAGATCAACAGGAAGACGATGAGTGCGGTTCGACTAACCCTTTGGGAGAATGTCTCGACTGAATTTAGATTTGAGGCAAAAGGAAAGGGTGAAGATCAAGAATGGTCAAAGTTGAAGCCGAAGAATAAGGACAAGGAAGATGCAAGTCAGGTGGTATATTGGAACTGCAAGGGGCACTTGAAACGACAGTGCAGGGCGCCGGAGAAGGATCAGGGTTCAGCAAACGCAACGGAGGAGATATCCGATGCGCTGATTCTGAGCGTCAGCAGTCCAATGGAGTCATGGATTTTGGTCGAACGTCATTCCACTCATGCAGTGATTCGAGAATCATGGAATCCTATACCACAGGTAATTTTGGTGTTGTCTATCTTGGAGATGATGAGACACTGAAAATTGTAGGTAAAGAAATGATTCGAATCAGAACACCGAATTGTGGGGAGTGGAGATTGGATGAGGTATGTTGAAGTGGAAGATGAAATCAGTCTTCAAGTGAGAGATTGTTGGAATATGAAGCCTGATTATATCCTAAAATCTAGGGATATGATTTGGATATTATATTTTAGATTTTAGAGATATGATTTGGATATTATTGTCAAAGGCTTAGGCTATAAATATCCATGTATTCTCACTTTAACATGTGCCTGCGTACTTTATAGTAAAATTCCTGGCTTGGCAGCGCCCCCAGACGTAGATCTTTGTGATCGAACTGGGTTACCAAATTCTTGTGTTCTTTGTCTTTGTTTTCTCATCTTGATTTCCTGAAATTTTCATAACAACTAAAAATCAATTTTACATTCAAAATATCACATAAATACCTATTTATATCACATCATACAACTATTCAAATTTAAAATTTTTACTATTCAAATATCAACTCAAAATTCAAACCCCCAAACAAACACACTTACAATTTTCAATCTATTACACAAATTTCATTACATTTTTTATCACACAATCTAATATGGACATTTTTGTCTTTTACACTCTAAATCAATATAATACTAATATTCAAAAATCTACGTGCAAAAAATAAATATTAATTTTTTTGCGGAATTAAAGTAATACTCCCTCCATCCCATTGAAAGATTGTCATTTTCCATTTTCGTCAGTCTCAAAACAAGGTTACCATTTCCTAATTTCGTAATTGTACTACCTACCTAACATAATAAATACTCTTCCAACTTATATTATATTACACAAACGCCATTATTTTTATATTACACAATACTAATAGGGATATTTTTATCTTTTTCACTACAATCCATTATAATACTAATATTAAAAAATTTACTTGCAAAAAGCAAACGTCACTCTTGTTCGGAGACGAAGGGAGTACTATATTTTTGAATTCAAGGTAAGTCCCGGACCCGAACTCCTTGAATAGTGGCCATTTAATAATTTATTTAGGCGCGCTGTATTCATGCCTGCATACCGGTTTTCTCCCACGTGCCTTTTTTACATCACAACAACCTTTGTCTCTGTACCTGTCACTTAATTGCAGATATTAATACTTAATACTACAACACTATAAACATAATTATATACTCCATTAATTACTATGTTTTAGTTTGTTTGTTTTTAACTTATTTATATTAATATTTTATTTCTTTGTTTCATATAAACATTTGAATTTTATATTTTAAATATTAATAATAATTTTATTTATTTTATAAAATTCTTAGTATTATACTTTTTTTCATCCCGAATCAAAATACCATTTTTACTATTTTTGTATATTTCACTCGAAAATATTTTTTTATTTAAAAAAATAATAATACACTAATATCAAAATATACTTTATATGCATTTAAATTACAAATATACGGTTACATATACATATACTTTTGTAAAAGAACAAAAATATCAAAACTCCTTGCGTACTTTCACTAATCAATAAAATACTAGTATTATTTTTTAAATTTTCTACAAAATTTCAAAATGTCTTTTTCAATTGGAACAGAGAAAGTATAAAATACCATTGTATTTAAATACTTCATCAGTCTCTTAACAATGTATCTATTTTTTTTTTCATTTTGATCCATCCCATAACAAAATATCAATTTTTTTTTAGTAATTGTATTATCTCTACTTAATATTACAAATACTCTTCTAATTTACAATATATTACAGAAATGACATTATCTTTATATTTTAGTTTAATCTTTTACTTTTATCTCTATTGCATTCTGTTATAATAATAATATTTTAAAAATTTTGTGTAAAAAAAAAAAAAAAAATAGATTAAAGACTGAGGGAGTATTAAGCATTCAAAATCTCCAAGATATATGAACAAAATCATAGATTAAGCATTCAAAATCTCCAAGATATATTAACAAAATCATATTGGCATAATTATTTAGGATTTTATATATTTTAGAATATAATTAAATAGTAGAAAATTGAAATTAATCCCATTTAATCCAGTAAAATCCGATTTAATCCTTCTAGAGACTCAACCGGACAAGTCATTCCTCCTCAGAAGTACACACCTGGTCCAATCCCATTTTCCCCTTTCTCTCTCTATATCTATATATACATACAGAGAGAGAATCAACAGAGTTCGAACCCCGACAACGTTGTTAGAAATGGATTTCGATTCGACAACGCTAATCTTAACCACCGGCGCTCTGCTCCTCTTCTTCCTCTGGCGGGCCGTGGCGGCGCTGAAACCGCCGCGGTGCGGCTGCGACACCTGCCGGAGCTACCTCTCCTCCAGCTGGACCTCAACGTACAACAATCTCAGCGACTGGTACACCCACCTCCTCTCCCAATCCCCCGCCGCCACCATCCACGTCCACGTCCTCAATAACGTCATCACCGCCAATCCCGACAACGTCCTACACATCCTTAAAACCAGGTTCGATAATTATCCTAAAGGTAAACAGTTCTCCGCCATCCTCGGCGACCTCCTCGGCGCCGGAATCTTCAACGTCGACGGCCATTGTTGGCTCTTCCAGCGCAAAATCGCCTCCCTTGAACTCGGCAGCCTGTCCGTCCGATCTTACGCCTTCCAGATCGTACGGTCGGAAATCGAATCCAGACTTTTACCGTTATTAGGCGGCGGTGGCGGTGGCGCCGCCGCCGCTGTCGTCGATTTGCAGGATATTTTTCAGAGATTTTCCTTTGACAGTATCTGTAGATTCTCGTTTGGAATGGATCCTGGTTGTCTGGAAGCTTCCCTGCCGGAATCTGAATTCGCCGCCGCCTTCGACGCCGCCTCCAGATTGTCGGCGATGAGGGCGACGGCGACGGCGCCGGCGATCTGGAAAATTAAAAGGTTTTTGAATTTGGGATCGGAGAGGGAATTGAAGAAGGCGATTCGATCAGTGCATTTGTTGTCGGAATCGGTAATTAGGAATAAGAGGAAAAGCGCGGCGGAATCGGGGAAAGGGGATTTGCTGTCGAGATTTATGGCGACGATAAACGACGACGTTTTGCTGAGGGACATTGTGATAAGCTTTCTGCTCGCCGGCCGGGACACGGTGGCGGCGGCGCTAACCGGTTTTTTTTTCCTGGTCAGCCGGAACCCTAGCGCGGTGGAGAGAATCCGGGAGGAATCGGACCGGATAATGGGGGAATATTCCGATCGGGCGGTGGAGTTTGAAGAGCTACGGGAAATGCATTTTTTGCAGGCGGCGGCGCACGAGAGCATGCGGCTGTTGCCGCCGGTGCAATTCGATTCGAAGTTCTGCGCGGCGGCGGACGTGCTGGCCGACGGAACGGCGGTGGCGCGTGGGACGAGGGTGACGTACCATCCGTACGCGATGGGGAGGATGGAGAGCGTGTGGGGGAAGGACTGCGGGGAGTTCCGGCCGGAGCGGTGGTTGACGGCGGCGGATGGTGTTTTCCGGCAGGAGAGTCCGTACAAGTTTGCGGTGTTTCAGGCGGGGCCGAGGGTGTGTCTCGGCCGGGATATGGCGGTGGCGGAGATGAAGGCGGTCGCGCTTTCTGTGATTAGGAAATTTGATTTCGAATTGGTGGACGGCGGCGGCGCCGCCGCCTCCGCCGCCGCGCCGAGATTTGCGCCGGGGCTGACGGCGACGTTTGCCGGCGGGCTGCGGGCGGTGGTCCGGGAGAGGAAGAGATTTTAATTTAATTAATTAATTAATTAATTGGGAGAGGGAAATTTGGCGGAGGTGTGTACAGTTAGAGAACGAACCAATTGCGGTTTGGCACGTGACGATCACGTGCATGTTGGGGTTGGGGGGGGTTGTCGTACGTGGCGGGCTGGGGTTGACTTGGGTGTTGGTTAGTTGGGTACTACTGCGGCTTTGTTTGGTCGTTGTTCATTATTGAATTGAACTGAATTCGTTAAATGGATATTCTTTGAGCTAATTATACTATTTTGTTTAAATAAAAATAATAATCTTTTAATATAAAAATAATATCGATAAAAATAAAATAAAATAATTAAAAAATAATATGACAAATAAAAGATAATACTCGCCTCCCTCTCATTTATCATTATCATATTCATTTCTTAATTTCCCTCTATTATATTTATTTTGTCATTTTTTAAAAAGAATTATAAACTTTAGTTTTATTTTTAATTTTTTTAATTTTAATTAAATTAATTAGTTATTTTAGTTTTAATCTATAATTATTTTTACTAATATATTTTTCATTAGTTACTAATTATATCCCAATTAAATTTTTCGTGTTTATAGGAAAATAAACATTATTTTCAAGGCTTTATTATTATAAATAAATTATACATAGAATTGACGCACGCTAAAAAAAATATATATATATATATATATTTCTTTCCTATTAACTTTTATTGTCTTTTTTTATTCATGTCCCACTTAAATAACTGTTTTTATCTATAGTGTATAATTTTTCTACTTATTAATCTACATTTATTTTTATTTATCTAAAAATTATTTTACACTAATTTTCTTTAATATACTATAAATTATTTTTAAAAAAATATATAATATAAATTGGACAGAAAGAATAAAATTTTGATTTACAATTTTATTATTTTTAAACTTAAAATCCAATTTCAAATGCCGGGGATCATATTATATATAAGTCGTCTCACCACCAAATTTATTATTATTATTTTTTTGTGACGTGAGAATCTGCAGTCACTACCTGAAAGTGCGCACTGGGTAAACCCCCGGCTGAATCTAATACCCTGCAAATCAGACCCGACGGAAAAGTCACACTAAACGAACCATGTGTGGCAGATGACCTGAGGCGTCGGAGGTTTGAATCAATGACCTTACGATCACAAATCTAATCCCTACACCACCAAATTTATTATTATTATTATTATTATTATTATTAGTGGAGTAGTATAAATTTGAAAAAATAATAAAGTACTATTTAATATAGCAGTTAGCATAGATAACACGAGCCCAGATATAATTATAATAATATTTATAGGACAGAACAGATCACAAGGAGCCGCCCACTGTATAATTTATTCTTTTTAACTTTTAATTATTTAATCCCAAAAGAATAATGAGATAGTGCACACATGCCATTTGGTATATATACAAGTACAAATATAAATATATTTATTTAATTAATTAATTATTCTCATGCATGCACGCATCCATGTGCGTGCCTCGACACAAACACACACTCATATATTATTATTATTATTATTATTATTTATTATTATTAAAGTGCTTACACATTACTATATAAATAAACAATGCTTATAATTTATAATATAATATTATTTTTATATTATATAATATTAATAAAATTATTTTTATATTTTTATTACAATCAAATATAATATTAATATTCAAAGTTTTATGTTTGAAAAGTAAACGATAATCTTTCAATACGACGGATGAGGTATTATTTTCATGTTTCCTCCATCGCATGGAAGTATTATTTTTCATTTTACTCCGGTTTAAAATAAAAATATTGTTTTTTAATTTAGTAATTGTACTGTATTATATTACATAATTAAATTTCCTTACAATATACGAAATATTATGCTACTTTCGTCTCATAAAATCGGTAACATTTGTTTTTTGCACGTAGACTTTGAATATTAGTATTATATTGTATTATAGTAAAAATAGCAAAAATGACTTTATTAGATTGTATATGAAAATAATGACATTTGTGTAATATATTGAAAATTGTAAAAGTATTAATTATGTTAAGTAGGTAGTACAATTACTAATTTAAGAAATAGTACTCTTTTTCCTCTTATAAAAAATAAATATTCAATTTGATATTTTTTTTAAAAAAAATTGATTGAAAAATTAAATTTTGGAAAAATATCATACATGAATACAACTTTAATATACAAACAACAAATTATGATGTTTCTAAAAAAAAGTAAAATGAACGACTCAATTTTTTATTTTTTATTTTTTGAGATTATAATAACACCACAAATCATATCATCAGATGTAACTATTATACTAATTTTCTTCGAATTGAAAATAGTAATTTTATTATTTTCGCCTATTTCAATAAAAATCTCATTTATACTCTAATAATAATAATAACATATTAATACAAAAATATCCTTAATTTTACATAAATTATAAATATATCACTAAACATATAAATAACATAAAAAAAAATATTATTAAAATTATATTAAATTTTTTTTTACTAACTAATAAAACACTATCATTTTTTAATTTATTGCAAAAATTCAAAGAAATACATTGTACCTAAGAAAAATTATCCCATGCAAACTCAAAGAATACCAAAAGTAGGTAACATTATAAATTACACATAGTTAATTATTTACAAATTACACCAAACTCAATATATTACATAATAATAATAATAATAATAATAATAATAATATAATAATAGCTAGTAATACTCAAAGTGAGTTTCAGAGCAACTCTCATCAGAAGAGAAACAACCACCACCGGCGGCATCATCACGGCTATACTCCGGCGGGACGTACGGCGGCGCGGCGCACCGCAGCAGCGCCCAATTGACCCCCTCGAAGAACGGGTGGCGCTTCACCGCCGCTGCACCGATCATCGACCCCAATCGCCGCTCTGGGTCCTTCGCCAGCAGCTGCGTAATCAAGTCCTTCCCGGCGCTACTAATCACTGTCGACGTCGTTCCGGAAGCCTCCTTCGGGAACTCGAGCGCCCGCGCCACGATATTCGCCAGCGTCATTTCGTGATCCGCCCCGCGGAACGGCGTAGCGCCGTAAAAAAGCTCGTAAATGAATATCCCCAACGTCCACCAATCGACGGCGCTGCCATGCCCTTCTCCCGACACAATTTCCGGCGCCAAATACTCGTGGGTCCCTACAAATGACATTGACCGTACGTCGATTGGCTCCGCCACGAAGAGCTCCGCCGCCGCCTCCGCGCGTTGGCTCGTCCTCCACTTCTTTTTCCGCCGCCGCTTCGTGTGGAAACACGACACGGCGGGGACGATGCAATTGGGAAGAATGCACGAGGCGGGTGGGCGGGGATCGGGCTCGGGGGCGTAATCGGAATTAGGTCGCAGAGTTTTGGCACCGGAGATGACTTGGGCTGGGGTGTATGTTGACTCGTCGCACCTTAGCGATAGGTCGAAATCGGTCAGCATAATGTGGCCGTCGGATCGGACCAAAACGTTTTCGGGTTTGAGATCGCGGTACACAATTCCCATCATGTGAATGTATTCTAGCGCTACGACGACTTCGGACGCATAGAACCTGAAAATACAAAGAAATATAGAGTTTCTTCGCTTAATATTTTTAATATAAACAGTTCAAAAAAATATATTATATATAATATATACACGTAACAATAAGTTAATCAAAGCATACAAAACATCATTTTATATTATTACGATTCTTCATATCTCAGCGACAAAAAATTTGAAAATTATAAATATTACACAAACACACTCATGAATCAAGTTATGACTTTATTTTTGTATGTGACATACTAATAAAAATGAGTCATGGAAATTAAACGATGATACAGAAAAAATTAAAATAAAATACACAAACGAGAACAAACCACATGGGATTGTAGGTATTTACCTTTTCTTGCTCAAAATCATTAGAGTCAAGTATATCTATCTATTTATTTAAAATATTATATAAAAAATTTAATATTTTTTTTTTAACATCACATCAAATAATATTTTAATACTCAAGCAAGCCATTGTCCTAAAGAATAAACAAATATGCAATGATATGCTGAACATTCTTTACTTATCATGTTTTAATCATTTGAGTAAGGGGGTCAATATGTTTCCTCATCACCCAAGTACATATAATTGTGGGTTGTCTAGGCCCCCTAAAAATATTAAATCAAAGATTAAAATCCTTATTGCATTGGGAATTATATATAAATAAAATAAAATAAAATAAAATAAGAGCCCTATTTGTCCTCTAAATATCAACACATAGTGCTGCTATTATTCTGTTTTGTTGTGTTTCTCTACTTGCCTTAGGGCCCTACTATGAAATGAAGGTCTCCTTTCCAAAATCTCTTAACAAACATGTACATAAGAAAAAAAAGAGTATCATTTCGTTATGTATATTCATTTGCTTTTACCGCTAAAAGGGCTTCGAGAAAGGTTAAAAAGATAAACATTATATGGTAGATAGTCACTAGATTAGTCGTATTATTAACTAAGTTCATATGACGACTTTTCTTTGAAGAGTCGTGGAACCTAAGAGAATTCGATAAATTAACCAGCAAAAATAAAGTAAAAACTAAAACGCAATAAACCCTTTAGATATATTTGATCTAGATTGGACCTTTACATATATATATATTGGAAAATAGTTTAAATTAAAATACGATATAAAAGGTCACTCTTGAGCCATCAATCTTAGGATGCAATGAAATTTAAACTAAGTCTTTCTTTTATGGTCTAACATGAACTTTAGTATCGTCTCATATCATGTCAAAACCATTTCAATTCACCATAAGTTCGATTCGCTATTACTTCGACATAGTTTTTCAATCAATTACAATGTTTGGATCACGCAACCTAAAAGTCAGTTTGATCCTAGACGCGAGGCTAATTACATCAATAAATTAAATTTTAATCGAACACAACATCCCGCAAAATACAACCAATTAAGCCCGTAGCATTGTGTTCTATCAACAACAGACAAGTTACTATTATTTCATTTAAAATATTATATTAAAACTTATTTATATCAAATTAAAGACTTGAAGTTATATTGAAATTTTTATTAATTCTAAACAAATCCAAAGCTCCAAAAACATACCAACTACTATTAAAACCCACTTTTGTCATCTTCTTCTTAGCTAGCTAGCTAGCATCAACAATGTTGAATAATTGCCAAACAAATATCCTTTCAACTAGGGTCCACTCCACACAATACATTTTCTTAATAGTAAAAATTAAAAGCCTAGAAGAAGATACAAGAAATCCCCCAAATTCAGCTATAAAGTAGCCATTTCATAGGATAGGCTCATTCCATTTTAACCAACCAATAACTTCTATTCACACAAATACAAATACTACCACACCAATAAAAACAACAAACAACAAAAATTTATGCATTTTTAGTTTTGACATTCATTATTTTTTTGACTTTAAAAGTATACTATCTTCGTCCGGCTCCAAGGGACTCATTTACTTCTTGCGTGTTGATATTTGAATATTAATTATTATATAAAAACGTAGTACAAATTAAGAAAAAATGACAAAAATACTTCTATTAGTGTCTTATAATACTATTATAATGATATTTTTGCAAAAAATTATACAAATATAAAAATATTTTTAATGTTAAGTATAATGACGCAGAAGGTAAATGAAACCCTTAGAGTTGGACGAACGAGTATTTATCAAATAAAATACTTAAACTATCTCACTCTCTTGTAAAAATTTTCAAGATTTAAAAAACTTCTGTATAAACGAAGAATCTCCGGACTCTAAATAAAGGGACCTTCTTCAAAGCACTACACACTACACACTACACGTGATTAATTATTTGCATGTTGTGTTAGTCAACCATAATAAAAGAAACAATTATCAATCCAACTGTCATAGATAGATCTGAGTAACTTAAACACATCTTCACATATGCCTCAACTATAGGTAAATCTTTGCCAGTAAAGATATGCATTTTCCCCCTAAATATCAAAAAAAATTATTTAAAATATTGGTATGCAATTACACTCTATTTATTTTATTTTTTTTCTGCAAAGTTTTTACATTTTAAAATACTTTCAGCTGATTGTGGAATTCCTAAATCAGAGATCTACTATAATGGAAATTAAATTAGAACCAAAGCAATCAAGATTTATCCACATTCTCCTGATCTCCCCATCTATTCTTCTAAGAATACAAAATACCCTATTAGTCTTTCAACTTTGTGCTCAAAATTTTTCAGAACAGGTTTTAATCAGTGGGAATTTGATTGATATCTTTTTTTGTTACTTTTATAGTAAAATAATATAAAAACTGGTATAATTTCTTATAAAATAAAAAATGAGAATATATATTTTTAAAAGATAAACCAAAATAAATAAATAAATACTACAATTTTAAAAGACACAGAGAGTAACTAATAGGACCATTATTCCCCAACTACCAACCAGCCTGCATCTGAAAACTTTTACCATTATTCAAAAAAAAAAAAAAAAAAAAAATTTACCATTATTCACGGGTGGGTAATTCATTCGTATCCTTGCTCCCTACAGTGCATTTCAGTTTAAGCTAAAGACTGCAGAACTGCAGAACTGCAGAGAGAGAGAAGACACTATTGGGCAGACACAGAGGGGCCCACATGGGATGTACACACACCACCTATATACATATACGATCCTACTTCTCAGTATGACACATTGCTTTCAATCTGTCTTCTATGATCATAATTCATAATTATTGATATCCATCAATTTATCTACAATACATTTCCCAAATCTTTTCAAAGTGCCTCACACCAACAAGGCCCTCCCTTCCCCTCCATCTTCTTAATTATTTCAAATATCAAATCATATACTACTACATACAAATAGCTACAATTAGATGAATCCACACGTACATATATAATAAGCTCACAAAAGCTGTTTATTCAAAATAATAATAATAAGTTTATTAATTAATACCACCTGATTATTTATGTCTTTAATTTATTTTTAACAATATCTATAGAAAATTAGTTATTGCATATTACTCTCCCTGTCCCATTAAGATTAAAAAAAAAAAAAAAAGTGTTGAATTGATGACTATTAAGCATTGAAAATTTGATGTGGTATTATTCATTATAGTTTTACTTTCCGAAATTATTAAAGTAAATATTTTTTTATTTTTATGCTCGTTTCAATTTAAAATACCTTTTTTTTTTTTATCATTTTGTTTATCTTACTTTAAAAGTATCAATTTTCTATTTTAAAAAAAATAATCATACATTAATATCAAAATACTAATTTTTACTTAAATTACAAACATACTGTTTTACGTACAATTACTTATACATAAAGTTAGGACAAAAATGTCAAAAATTTTTACACACTTTCAATAAAATACTACTCTTTTCGTCCCGCTCTAAAAGTCTCACTTACCTTTTGCGCTATTCTACTTAATATTAAAAATTTTCTTATATTTTCATAATTTTTTTGGATAAATGTCATTATAATTATAATAGTATTATAAAACACTAATAAAATTAATTTTGTCATTTTTTTATGTAATACATGATATAATAACTAATATTCAAATATCAACACGCAAAAAGTAAATGAGACTTTTAGAGTCGGACGAATGTAAATATTATTTTTAATCTAAGGAGGAAATATATTTACAAAAATATAGAGTTCAATTCACATTTTATTGTATAAAAAATAAATAAATATTCTTAAAAAATATATCTAAATCGAAAGTTACTAATGACTGGTTGTTAAGGTATATTTAAACAGAGAAATATTATCATTATTATTATTATTACTATTATTATTATCATTATTATACGATCGGTGCATGCAGGTGCGTCGCACAGTATCACTCCACCACTACACGAGATTTGGGAGGAGAACTCCTAATTACCCTAAATCGAAGAGTAAATGTAAAATGGCGATAAAATCAACGGCGTACCTGACCGCCGATTCGGCGAATCTCCGGCACGGCTGACGCTGGCGGAGGACGTGCAGATCTCCGCCGGGGCAGAACTCCGTCAAAAGGCACGACCACTTCGGGGAGTCAATGGCGGCGTAGAGCGTCGGAAGAAACGGATGCTCCACCATTTCCAGGATCTCCTTCTCCGTCCTCGCTCTCCCTCCCTTATTACGGCTCGCCAGCTCCTTTTTATCCATAATTTTTGCTGCGAAAACGGCGCCAGGAACCGCCGATTTAGGCGTTTCCGACGACGGCGGCGGCGGCGGTTTGAGTTCGGCTAAATAGACGGAACCGATGTCGCCGGCGCCGAGACGGTGGAGGAATCGGAGGTCGGAGAAGGAGAGGGAGGGGAATCGGCGGATGGAGTCCCAGCGGGGGTCGCCGGAGGGGTAATGAGGTTTGAGGGGAGTGGCGGAGGAGGAATTGGTCCAGTCGGAGCCGGAGCTGGTGGAGCGGTGGATATCGGTGGTGGTGGTAGTGGCGGTGGTGGTGGAGTTGAAACTCATGCTTAGAAAGTCGTCGGCGATGTCGTCCGGCGAGAGGTGCGGATCCATGGCGGTGGGGGAGAGGTTCTCTGAAGTGTGAGTCTGTTTGGGCAGTGAAGGGAAATTAATAATTATTATATGGCATTAGCATGGTGGGCCCCACTTTTTAAATAAAATAATGAAGACATATAGACAATTAATATTAATATATTTATATTTATATTTATATTTTAATATAATGTGTATATATGTCCGGTTGTTAAGAAAAATGAAAATTAATTTATTGATTTAGCAAAATGACTAAATTGAATTTTTTTATTTTTATTATGAGTGTTTTTAAAATTGATTACAAAAACAAAATACATTAAATATATAAATGTTTAAGTCAAAATTCTACTCCTTCCCTCCTACTTATCATGTACATATTTTCATTTTCGTCCGTCCTACTTATTTTGTTATTTTTTTTAAAAAAATAATTATATATTTTATTTTTATTTTTAAAAATTTAATTTATAATTTTTTTAATTTTAATTATATTAATCAATTATCTTAATTTTAATCTATAATTATATATTTTTTTTAGATTTTAACTTGAGTTTTAAAATATTAACATGTATATACCGATGACAAAATGAAATTATCAATACAATTAAAAGTACAATAATAACTGCAGGGTGTACAAGGTAAGTATACATCCAGTCGATGATTATGATTAGATTAAACCATCATTAGTGTTTGTGCTGCTATTTTGCCTGATTGTGCACGTATCAATTAAGTATGTAGGGTGTGTTTGTTTGTGGGTTTATTTTTTGAATTTCAATTTTTTAAGTTGAATTTAATAGTTATTTGATGCGATATAAATAGAAATTTATGTGATGTTTTAAATATAAAATAAATTTAAGTATAATAATAATAATTGTTTGAATACAAAATAAATTTGAGTATAATATAAAATAATTTTTATATCATGTTTTATTATTTTACTTATATTATATTAATATAAATAATGTTTTACTTATGCTATATTTTCTCTTATAATGTACTATGTTGGATTCATATATATATATATATATACTTTTTTTGTTCAAAAAACTATTATGTACATATAAACTATATTGTATTGTACTTTATTCGTCTAAGATATCGCGTAACATTTGAATTCGCATAAAAAATTAGATAGATAGTACAACGTATGGTAATTTGAAATAATTTAAAAATTAAATAATATAATTGGAGAGAAAAAATACATATTTATTTTATTTATTTGAATGATGTGATAAGATAAAGTGAAATATATATTTATATACTTTCTCCGTCCAAGCTAAAAGTATACAATTATTTTTTGCACGGAGAGTAAGGAATAATAGTATTTTAATTATAATGGATAAGTAAAAGTAGTAAAATGACATTTGTGCCCTTACTTTTTTGGTATAAAAGTAATGATGTGATGTAAAGTAGAGGTATTTGTGAAAAAAATGGGGTATTAAATAAAATGGTTACTTTGTAATTGGACGTTCCAAAATAGAAATATGTATACTTTCTAACTGGAAGGAGAAAGTATATAAATATAATTAATTATTACTAAATTTAAAAATATTACAGTAAAACTTTTTTTTAAAAAAAATATTATAAAATATTTGGGACAGAGGAATAATTATTAATATTTATTATATAATTTTAAAATTGATCAATGAAAGTAAAAGAATTCATTAACACCGACGAATGGTATCATTTGAACCCTACGAGAACAAGCCTAGAAAAATAGGACACAACATTCCCTCCCCCAATCCCAATCACAACTTTTTCAATATTACAATAAAGTGATTGGTTGGTGGTTTGGATCTTGTGTTTAAGTTTTAAATAGTAATTTATTTATTTATTTATTTTATATACTTTATTAAATTTATAAATAATTTTATTCATCTAAACTTTTTTTTCTTCCACCTTAACAAATACTCCGCTTATCGTAAAAAATACAATAACCTCTCTTTTTTTTTTTTATTTATAATTTTTAATTTTTCCTTCATAAGAAATAACTGTGTTTCATTTTTAGCAATAAAATTATATTTTATCAGTTCGCTAATTAACTTTTTTTAGTCCGTCAACTAAATTTAATACTCTGGGCCGCAACTTACGCGAAATTAGACTAGCTCCATGGGCCAACTTAAGTCTTTTCAAATAAACACGCTTACTTTTCGAGTTATTTCTATAGGTCTCACGAAGAGAAATGTGCTTCATCACCGTTAATTTGCAAACATAAAAAACGATGGCTTTGTTCATTTCGAGTTTGGTTACTGATTATTTACTAAGTAACCATCGAGATCTTCTATTAAAAACACTTTTTTTTTTCTCAGAAAACATTTATATCCAAATAAATATCAACAAAATCCACAAATTTTCTGTTGCCTGAAGAAACTAATAGCATGATTTAAAAAAAAGACTCAGGCCAAGTATTTATCAAGTTCTAAAATCACAACAAAATCATACAAGATAGCATTGTCATTCACCAAAGAGAAACCACATCAACATATATTACCAGCCTCCGAAATCGAAGATAATCTAAAACAAGAAATCACATTACCATTTTGTTTAATAGCTCGGCCTTCGAATGAGGAGTCCAACATAGCATAAATTTCATTATTCCTTTTTCCCAATTCCATTCGACATGTTATAGATCCCTCTTCCCTGGAAAAACAAATTCAAGAAAAAATAAAAAATAAAAAAATCAAACCCGTATGCGACCTTCAGAAAATGACCAAATTACGGAGAAATGAAACACAAATTAACACTTACAATCATAAACAGAGCTGCACCGGCAAGAGCTGCAGGAATAGCAACTGAAGTGATCTTATCGTAGGGTCCTTTTAAATATGTATGCTTATGAACACTTTGAAAAAACTTCTGCTTTTCGATGAGTTTCTCTCTCGGCCTAAATGGTGGTTCTGGCTCCGACATCCTGCATTATACACCCATAATTCAGTTCGACATTCCAAACAGTTAAAAGAGAGATATCAAAGGTGAATTTTAGACACAAACTGCAATCAAGTGAAGTTATACCAAATTATAATCACTTATGATAAATTTATGTCACTCGGTTGGAACATTATCAGAAAGATGAGCTGAATATTCTTTTAAAAGGTGAAAAATAAGGCAGTACAACCCTAACATCCTTCAACAGCAGGCTTGGATTCTCTTCATTGCTTTATATTGTTGCAAATATGCATATGTATATACAAGGGTGGCTAATAAACAACGTGCTGATTAGTCCTAATCAACACATAAATAACTACTCAGCGCATAGCCAAAAAATATCACCATGTGCTGTAATTCATACTTTGCATTTGAGTTATGTTAACATGAAACCCTTGCACTGACATCAATTGCAGCATATGTTGTATGGATTACTACCATATGCTTATTAAAGTAAGCCCCCTAACCCTAACCATATATATATATATATATATATTCCCTTCGTCCCAATTCAAAGTACTAATTTCACAATTTTAGTTTGTCTCATTTCAAAGTATTTCTTTTCTATTTTAGAAAAAATAAACATACACTAATACTAAAATACCTTTTTAACTTTTACTTAAATTACAAACATACTATTAGAAAAAATAATCATACACTAATACAAAAATACCTTTTTAACTTTTACTTAAATTACAAACATACCATTATACATACACAATTATAAAGTCAAAGGACAAAAATGTCAAAAACTCTTATTTACTTCTACTAACCAATAAAATACTACTCCATCCGTCCACACATAAAGTATACAATTACTTTTGGCTTGGTGTTTAAGAAATAATAGTATTTTAATTATAGTGAGTAGTTAAAAGTAGTGTAATGACATTTTTAGCTTTGCTTTTTGTGTAATAGTAATGATGTGATGTAAAGGAGGGTTATTTGTGGAAAGTGAGGTATTTAATGAAATATTTACTTTGTAATTGGACGTCCCAACATAAAAATATGTATACTTTCTAACTGAACGAAGAGATTATTATTTTTTAATCTACTACAAAACCCCAACGGAAGGAGTATAACTTATTGATATCAGGTCAAACAGTTTTAAGATTTATGCTAGACGAGAAAATTGGTTTTCTCTATAGGTCCATTCTTTGAATCAGGAAAAAAATTCATTGTTTTCTTGTTTTCATTTTAGCCTACATTCTATTACTTACCTTATACATACAATCTCCATTGAATATGTAGAACAGCAGAAAGCCATACCATATACTACCAGATATTGCCTTCTCTCTCACACTATGCATAATCTAGTTATATCATTATCACACAAATTCTACCAAGGCTTTGCCGAGTACATGTAGTAAAAAATCACAGTTTATAAACAGAGACTACAATATAAAAGAGTGTATATACACAGTATATCAAAGCATAAAAATCAACCTGACAAACCTCCCTGACAACAGTGACTACCTGGACGAGAATGAGGAATCGATCTTCCGTTAAGAATAGTGATTATCAAAACTATTCGGAGGAAATACCGAGGCTAGAATTCCTTATCTGCAATCGATAAGAAGCGACTTTCAAAACATCGACATCTAGTTGTCTAGATTAACAGATCCGAATCATCACACCACCATCAGATCAAAAACAAGGGGAAAACGAATAGTTACTCAAATTTCTACCTAATAAAACTGTTAATTTTTCGGAAAATTCTCAAGATACTTGCCTGAGCAGGAGCGCAGAAGATTCGAGAGGATAGGGAGAACTGTGCGTGGAGCAGAACTCAAATAAGAACTGCCATGTCTGTAGATCAAATGTGAAGTTTGTTAAATGGGCCGGGCCAGTTTTTGGGCTCATACATTTGTCCCAAGCCCAATTAGGCAAGCCTAACAAAACGATTAAGCGTTGTTGAAGTAATAATTGCTTACTGTTAATTAATAAACTAGTATTATTAAATTAAATATCTACACGTGCAGGATTTCGCAAGAAAGTTCGAGTTATCTTATTTGGTTGTGTTTGAATTATAATATAATATATATTTAATAATAAATTAATTAAAAAATAATTTTAATGTTTTAAAACGTACCTCTAAATAAATTCTATAAATATACTAATATAAATGTTAATATGTAGCGAATCATATATGATATAAATAAATACATAAATGTATGTATAAATTTATACATACTTAACATAAATTAGTTTATATATAGCATATAGTATTATGTAAATTAGGCTAGCAACATTTATATCCATTATTTAGTGGGTAATCAAAATAAATAATAGATTAACAAAACAATTGATGCTGGTTTGGTGTGTGAATTTGATAACATTGCATAAGGTTATTGTTATATGTAAGTGGAATTCTTATTGTAATAAAGTGAGATTCCCACCCACACCCACACCCACCCATCTCTTCTTTTTGACCTGAACGTTGAACCCACCCAGAAGTCCAAACGTTATTTACATATATATATATAGAGAGAGAGAGAGAGAGGTGTCTTTGTAGTTTTTAAATTAAATATATTTCAAAAGAGTATTGAAAAAAGATGGGACCTAATAATGTCCTATGTATGTAGTTGCTTTGGTCAAATGTGGTGATCCTCGCAACGACATCTTAGCAAGAAAAAAACGTCAATAAAATAATTCAGCTACTTTCACCGATTTGATACTATTCATTTTTCAAAAAATATCATCTCAAATACATTTTCTTTTCCTACAAAATATTACATCAAATACTAACTTTTTACTTTTTCCAAAAACCAAAAACCTCCTAGTTATAAAGAGTATTATTTGTATATACATTTTGTAGAACTTTTTTAATTTTTAATATTCATAATTTACATCTTTTATCATTTTTGAGTTTTTAAATAAAAATATATAAAAATACACTTGCATCATATTTATTTAAGTTTTGACCATACCTTACCATACCATACCATACAAGTCCCGTCCACAACCACCCAACATTTCCATTATATACATAATGCCCAATTGCCCACCCCATCCCACCCCACCCTACCTAAATTTTTTACCAACGAACCATCATTCATCACTTGCATGCATATATACATATAAACAATACCCAACTCCATAAATAATAATAACAAGAGGTACGTACCTTACCTACATGGTATGAATCAAACACCAATTCATTCCTCTCCTCTCAAAGCATAATATCCATGGCGGGGGACTACGATCTCCACCTCTCCGGCAGCCGCGGGAGGTCCCGGAGCTGGAGATCCCAGAGAAGCATGACAGACGTGTGGCTGCACGCGCCACCCGACGTGCTCTCCCGCAACAGCACGCGGCGGCAGGAGCTCGAGGAAGAGGAGGAGGCCGAGCTCCGATGGGCGGCAATGGAGCGCCTCCCAACCTACAACGCAAAATTCGATACCGATATAACCAACCTTGGTGCGCAGGAGAAGAAAAAATTGATGCACCGTATTCTCCAGGTCGTCGAGGACGACAACGAGAAGTTCCTTCTCAGGCTCCGCAACAGAACCGACCGGTAATCTATATTTTTGAAACTTTTTGACACTATTCATCAATAATAACTTTTTTTCATACAATAGAGTCGGAATCGAGATGCCGAAGATTGAAGTGAGGTTCCGGAACTTATCTGTACACGGAGAAGCTTACATCGGAACGAGAGCGCTTTCTACTCTGCTCAACTCAACCCTCAATACAATCGAGGTACGACGTACTGGATAAACTCCCGATCAATAATAACCTGCAAAATCTCATATCTGTCAACAATGTGCACATTAATTAGGCGGCTTTGGAAACGATTGGCCTTTCTCCATCGAAGAAACGTGCCGTTACCATACTCGAAAATCTCACCGGAATAATTAGGCCATCAAGGTTAGCTGCAGCTGCTTATAAACTCACCCTTCAAAATTTTCTAGGTAAGAAACTTAACAAATTCTATGCTTACTTCTTACCAGAATGACACTGCTGCTGGGGCCGCCAGGTTCTGGCAAAACGACGCTGCTAAAAGCGTTGGCCGGAAAAGGTGAGAGCGACATGAGAGTGACTGGGAAGATCACATACTGCGGGCATGAATTTCACGAGTTCGTTCCCCAGAGAACGTGTGCATATATCAGCCAACACGACGTTCACCACGGCGAAATGACTGTTCGCGAGACGCTTGATTTCTCCGGCAGATGCTTGGGCGTTGGGACGAGGTATGAAATGCTTGCGGAGCTGTCGAGAAGAGAACAAGAAGCGGGCATCAAACCTGATCCTGAGATCGATGAATTCATGAAAGCCACAGCTACGGCAGGGCAGGAAACAAGTTTGATCACAGATTATGTCCTCAAGGTGAATGAAGTTCTCCATCTGCAGTTTCGTCCATTTCCGATCCTAACATTGAATCCTTTTTGTTGTTCGACATCCTAAATCCCCGTAGATCCTCGGGCTGGATATCTGCGCGGATATTATGGTTGGAGACGAAATGAGACGGGGCATTTCTGGCGGACAAAAGAAGCGCGTTACTACAGGTAATGTAATGTGATCAACCTATAATGGTAGATTTCTTTCTCCATAGCTCAAGAAATCTTACCAGGTAATGAAATGCAGGGGAAATGTTGGTCGGACCGGCGAAAGCGCTCTTCATGGACGAGATATCGACGGGGCTGGACAGCTCCACGACGTACCAGATTGTGAAATTCATGAGGCAAATGGTCCATATCAATGACATAACAATGGTCATCTCTTTACTACAGCCTGCCCCCGAGACATTTGAGCTCTTCGACAATGTTATCCTGCTTTCGGACGGTCACATTGTCTATCAAGGCCCGCGTGAGAACATTCTCGACTTCTTTGAATATATGGGATTCAAGTGCCCGGACAGGAAAGGAGTTGCAGACTTCCTCCAAGAAGTCACTTCCAAGAACGATCAAGAACAATATTGGTGTCGAGAGAATCACCCCTATCGTTATATCTCTGCACCGGATTTCGCACAGGCTTTTAACTCATTTCACATAGGCCAAGAACTCGCTGAAGATCTTCGAGTCCCGTATGATAAGTTAAGAGCACATCCTGCTGCCTTGGTGAAAGAGAAATATGGTATCTCCAACTGGGAGCTTTTCCGGGCATGTTTCGACAGAGAATGGCTCCTGATGAAGCGCAGCTCGTTCATATACATCTTCAAGACAACACAAATAACAATAATGGCTACGATCGCGCTGACTGTGTTCTTGAGAACAGAGATGAAGTCGGGCAGGATAGAAGATGCATCCAAGTTCTGGGGAGCCTTGTTCTTCAGTCTCATCAACGTCATGTTCAACGGGATGCAAGAGCTGGCGATGACTGTTTTTAGGCTTCCTGTGTTCTTTAAACAGAGGGACTGCTTGTTCTACCCAGCTTGGGCTTTTGCACTGCCAATTTGGGTCCTCCGAATTCCTATTTCGGCTATGGAGTCTTCTCTGTGGATCATCCTTACGTACTACACCATCGGCTTTGCACCATCTCCTGTGAGGTTCTTTAAACAACTGCTGGCATTTGTGGGAGTGCATCAAATGGCTCTTTCGCTGTTCCGTTTCATTGCAGCTGCTGGAAGAACTCAAATTGTAGCCAACACTCTGGGGACATTCACTTTGCTGATGGTTTTCGTACTCGGAGGGTTCATCGTTGCCAAAGGTCAGTACTTTTAATTACGATGCATTGCATCGTTCTTCCTATGAACAAAACTTGTATGCCTGTGGTTGCACAGATGATATTGAAGACTGGATGATCTGGGGGTACTATATTTCTCCGATGATGTACGGACAGAATGCCATCGCCATCAATGAATTTCTGGCTGAGAGATGGAGTGCAGTAAGTCCTCTGATAATTCCATAGATTGTCTTTAGAAGCTGCATCATGACACACTAATGGTGGTTCGATCTTTTTATCTTCTCAGCCCACCAATGGCTCCGAACCTACTGTTGGCAAGACTCTTCTTCGCGACAGGGGACTATTTACCACGGAGAGATGGTACTGGATATGCATCATGGCTCTTTTCGGGTTCTCTCTTTTGTTCAATGTGCTCTTCATTGCAGCATTGACATACTTAAACCGTAAGTACATTCAACCTTCATGTTCTGTGCTTTAAGAAATCATTCCTCAACCTCATCGGTTGAATAATGTCGCCATGGTGCTCTGTACTGAATATCAGCTCTAGGAGGTAGTAAAGCTGTCATTGCAGCAGATCATGAAGAAGATGAAGTAGCAACAAAGAGAAATAGAAGAGAAAGAAAAGGGATGGTTTTACCTTTTGAACCACTGTCTCTTGCTTTCGACCATGTGAATTACTACGTCGATATGCCTGCTGTAAGTTGCCTGCCAAACTCAATCAAGAATTTGTTAGTACCATTTCAAGTTTTGATCTGATCTGAGAACAAACAATGTGAGTGTTTCAGGAGATGAAGACGACGACACAGGAAGAAAGACTTCAGTTGCTTCAAGATGTAAGTGGCGCATTTAGGCCGGGAATTCTAACAGCATTGGTAGGTGTCAGTGGAGCTGGGAAGACCACGTTGATGGATGTCCTTGCTGGTCGAAAAACTGGAGGTTACATTCAAGGAACCATAAGTGTTTCAGGCTATCCAAAGAACCAGACTACCTTTGCTCGAGTTAGCGGTTATTGTGAACAGAATGATGTCCATTCTCCTTATGTCACCGTCTATGAATCACTCGTATACTCTGCCTGGCTTCGTCTACCTGCTAATGTTGATATAGAAACACAAAAGGTAAGTAAGTACCTAAATCAACCATAATATCATTAAAAAGATGGTTTATGTGTGAAATACCTAAACTAGTTTGCATTTTCTTCAGATGTTTGTTGAGGAGGTCATGGAATTGGTGGAGCTTACTCCATTGAGGAATGCACTTGTTGGACTCCCAGGCATCGATGGCCTTTCAACTGAACAAAGAAAGAGACTCACCATTGCTGTTGAGTTAGTTGCCAATCCATCCATAATTTTCATGGATGAACCAACCTCAGGACTTGATGCTCGAGCAGCTGCAATTGTTATGCGCACTGTGAGGAATACAGTGGACACAGGACGAACGGTGGTCTGTACAATACACCAACCTAGCATTGACATTTTTGAAGCATTCGATGAGGTAATGTAATTACCAAGTCCTGTCTCTGTCTTCATTCCGTTGTGTTGTAGCTGTGAGTATAAATTACTCCTCTGGTGCAGCTTCTGTTAATGAAGAGAGGAGGACAAGTGATCTATGCTGGAGCTTTGGGTCACCATTCCTATAAACTTGTCGAATACTTTGAGGTGAGTGTGACCCCATAATTCAACTCTTCTCCATTAGGTTACGGGATGTCGAATCAGTACCTTTTTCAAACCTGATGTTGAAATTCCATGGATGCAGGCTGTGCCAGGAGTTCCTAAAATCAAAGAGGGATATAACCCGGCTACTTGGATGTTGGATGTCACGACCCCTGCTGTCGAAGCTCAGCTTGATGTTAACTTTGCACAAATCTATGCTAACTCTCAACTTTACCGGTAAGTTATACAACACAAGCAGTTGGATTCGATACTAATGTCATACTGCATATCTTTGAAAGTTCAGTCTTCTTGTGACTTCAGGAGGAACCTGGATATGATAAAGGAGCTTAGCACTCCCACCCAGGGATCCCACGACCTACATTTCCCAACACAATATTCTCAATCCTTCTTAACTCAGTGCAAGACTTGCTTCCGGAAACAACACTGGTCCTACTGGAGAAACTCACAATACAATGCTATTCGATTCTTTACTACAATCATCATTGGCATTCTCTTCGGTGTCATCTTCTGGCAAAAAGGGGACCAAATGTAAGCATTATATAGATAAAGATAAAATAAAATTTGAAAGCTTTGCTGCTTAACTTGTAGCTTATCAGTAATCGAGATTTTTTATCCTCCACAGACACAGGCAACAAGACTTGCTTAACCTTCTTGGAGCAACATATGCTGCGGTGCTTTTCTTGGGAGCTACTAATGCTTCAGCAGTCCAATCTGTCGTAGCAATCGAGCGAACAGTTTTCTACCGTGAAAGGGCTGCAGGAATGTACTCTGAGCTGCCCTATGCATTTGCACAGGTCAAACTAGAATTCTGATCACTTTTCTGATCCACCTTTTTTGATCGTCTCCTTGCATTCTACATATCACATAGATCAAAGGGTGAACAATAGAATAGCATTAATATTGTTGAAATTGCTTGCTTACTTGCAGGTTGCGATTGAGACGATCTATGTAGCAATCCAGACCTTTTTATACTCCCTACTACTCTACTCTATGATCGGATACCAATGGACAGGAGAGAAATTCTTCTACTTCTACTACTTCATATTTATGTGCTTCACATACTTCTCAATGTATGGTATGATGGTCGTTGCCCTCACACCCGGCTACCAAATAGCTGCCATCGTCATGTCCTTCTTCCTCAGCTTCTGGAATCTGTTCTCCGGCTTCCTCATCCCTCGACCTGTAAGTAAACAAATAATGAAATTCCTTATCAGATTAAAAAAAGAATGAACTGCTGCTTACCGATGGTCTGTTTTGGCAGCTTATTCCAATATGGTGGCGATGGTATTACTGGGCTTCACCCGTTGCATGGACCATCTATGGTATCTTTGCATCACAGATAGGGGATGAGACAGGCATGCTGGAACTCACCGGTGGCACTAGCAGAATGCCGGTGAAGGATTTCCTCAAGGACTACTTGGGGTATGATCATGACTTCCTTCTCGTAGTAGTGATTGCTCATGTTGGTTGGGTTCTGCTGTTCTTCTTTGTATTTGCGTACGGCATTAAGTTTCTTAACTTCCAGAGAAGATGATGCTTAAAGATACCAGTTGTAGCCATAGGCATTTAAGCAGCCAAGAAAATTCCAGTGAAGTTGAGGTTGCCATTTGATGATAATTCTAGCAAATACATCACACACCTATGCAGTACGACTATATTTTGAATTTTTCTAATCAAAATCAAAATTTATGTCCAACTTTAGAATTGGGCTCAGCTAAAAGTACTGTTCTTAGCTATAAATTTTATTAACAAAGAACCAAAATCAATAATCGTTCGCCCTTCACAAATCTTCACATCATTGTCGAAATTCAATGAGTAATAAATAAAATGCAGAATTAAAATTAAACACAGCAAAGATAAAAGTCACATATATATAACATGACAAGAAATAGTTTGCAATGAAACCTCACGAATCCAATACACAAAATAATACAATCATCCATATTTTTCAACAATAACAAGACCAATCAACAAACATAAGCAAAAAGCAATAAGATCTCTTTTTGCTTTCCATGGAATGACTATGAACCTAAAATTAATTGCCTTCTCAATTATTAGACCTGCCCAACAATTCAGGCTATTTTTACAAAATGAAAAGCCATAGTTTCCCTTGAAAGAAACATTAAGTGGTATTTTGCGAATTTTAATTTTGTTCAAACTTTACATCTTCAAAATACTCATAAATTAGCAGCAGTTCCAACAATCTTTTTCCTGGTCTATATTTGATAGTACTAAATATGATTTTTATAAGCAGCCAGCATAAAGTATTAAACTAAGAACATGAACAAACCTTAGTATTGGTTGGAAGACATCCAGCCACAGGTAGATAGAGATAATCCCAGCTCAGAAGTCCTCCTCATCCGCTGTGGATCTGGTGATGGGAATGGACCACCTCCCCAGATGCGCCGTATAGTTGATGCACCGGATTGCACCCCTCCCACCTGGTCCATCCGGGAAATCAATCACACTGATGCTGCCAGCATCCAGATGGAATGATCCTAGCCATTCCTTGGTAAGGTTCAGGCAGTGCCCCATCATGGCAATGTGCATCGCTGGACTTCCAACTGCAACAACTACATTCTCCCCTGCCTCCTCTTTCGAGAGCTCCTGCAGCAGATATTTCCAGGCCACACCTGCCCGATCCCACAATGCCATCATTACTTCCTCTTCATACTCCTTTAACCAACCTGATGCCAGTCGCAAGTCCTACATTACAGATTGATTTTATAACATTATGCTGAATAAAATTCGTAAGGACAGAAACATATACATTTGCTGCACGAGACAGTAGTAGCAGATTCATGCATTTAACATTATTTTAACATCAACACTTTATATATAAACTCTTCTGAATGATTAGAGATGAGTCCATAAAAATTCAATCATCCTTACTTTCTTTGTTTGATTGAGGATGTTATCAACATCCAGCTCTGGTATCCTCTTCACTTCCACATAGCGCGCAATGCAATCATCTGCCAAGCAATCTGCGGCTTCTTGGATCTACAAGGAAGTTTTTTAACATAACTGCACTTTGGCACTAAGTAGTTCTATGAATGAACAAAATCTTTGAAATTATTTGATGCTGGACCATCTTACCTTGCATATTGTATCTGCTGTGTCGACTGATGCTATTGCATTGCTGCTGACTATTGTTCCCACATTGACATCGAGAAGCAGCTCAGCAGTTTTCTGTGCCTGTTCAATATTTTAAACACACACGCTTCAGAAACAAGCCTCAGATGCCTCATAGGCGACAAACCATAGGGAGAAGAGTTTTATTAACTTGTATTATGCCAAGCATGTTCATCTGGCCATTCCTAGTGAAAGGATTGCTGCTCTGCTAAGAAGAAACATGTTAATTTGAATGCAAACCAGTAAAGAGAAAGGATGAGTATCAGACACCACACACACACACCAGGCTAGCTGAAGAGTGGCATCATATCAACAGTGATCAGCATCCAAGAAAACTGAAGCCAGCGAAAATTAAGTATACCCGCAGTGATCTAAGCGTTCATTCAAGTCAATAAAACAGCCAAACTTATGCAGAGGTTTCTGTTTTCTTTTAGCTCAACATTCTCATCAAAACTGGTGAAAGCAACCAAATATTGAAAAAGTTTCTGCCTGTTGTTGACTGAAAAACTAGTAATCAAGAAATATGGGCAATATTATATTTTAACATGTCATTCTCATAACTCACTCACTGAAGGATGTTAATAGGAAAATCATAACAAAAATACTATAATCATTAGAAGTAAACATGGCCTTAAATTATAGTAGATTAAGCAATGACTATACATATCTCATTGCAAATACATTTCTTCCCATGTACTTTTGCAGATGTTACTTTGGAAGGAAGTTCTGTGACCATACCTCTACATCATTAGGACTGAACCCCTGACAAACAAGTATAATCCGCATACTGGCTTTTCTTCCTCCAGAACTTCCAGAAGCTACAGGTGAACCCGGGGTCTGGATCATTATACTTATTCACATCAATGAATGAATTTCAAAATAACCCACAGAAACAAAAAGTTATATGTATATAGATATAGCTCAACAAAGAGGTTTGGTGTCTCGGTAGCTGTAATTGATTTAAGGGCACAAACAAAACGTTAGTATCTATAGACAAGAATAGGTGAGAAAAGCAAAATGTTTATTCAGGCAATACCAACAGCAGTTATTTTAATCAAACATTTAACAAGTTAATGCATTCAGCATAAGTCCATAGCAAGATGTACACCTGGTTAAGACGATTCAAGCATATTTCTGGAGATCCCCCTTCAGGGTTTGGAGTGAAATCCAGCACACTTACACCACAGTTGCTCTGAAGTAGAATCCTGAAGTACTCAGTGCCTAGCCCTGCACGCACACAACCGCCAAAAGAAAAACATGGTGCAATTTCTATTGAATTATAATTGACATTTGCAAGATCAAGTAACAATTTAATATTCACACCGATTGCGGTGGCAACAAGTGCCTGGTTTACGGCATTATGAGCAACTACAAGTATTGATCTGCCTTCATGGGTAAGGATTTTCTTCCAAGAGCTTCTAGCTCTTGTCCACAATTCCCTGACAGGATAATGGCCATCAATGTTGAAGTTCTTTGCATCTATTTGCCATTTGCGATAAGCCGCACCGAATCTTTCTTTTCCTTCATTCTTTAGGAGGCCCTATGAATAGCAATAAGGTCGATTACGTCTACAGGCCTACCAGAACAGCAGTACATTGAGTGTCACTTAAACAACAGCCTATAATGAGCTTCCACTTAACTAGCTTTGTAAATTCAGTGTGTATTTACTTGGAAGGAATAGAGATCGATTTCCCTCAGTTCAGGTTCCGTTATAATCTCCTCATTGCGAGAACCCCATATGATCTCGGCCGTCCTCTTTGATCTGATTAGTGGGCTGCAACATATATCAACATGAGCAATTATTTGAAGAGACGAATCAATACAATAATACATGAAAGGTATAACTGAATGCAGGTGACCAGGAATACAAAACTTCGCTGTGAATCACTCATTTTTTGTGAGTAAACATTAAGATATTATAATTAGTGATGAGTGAGTGACACACTAAGATTCTATAATGCTTTGTTCTTGTAATCTTCAGCTTATACGATCATTCAACCACAATTCACCAGGTTAAATGTTACAAACTTCCTATGTTTTAGACACTGATTGAGTTCAGTCCCAACCACAAAACCTTCTCAATTTTTATCCATTTCGAAATTATCAATTCAGAATTATTCCAAGGAAACAGTTGTTAACTACTGTACAGTAAACATAAAGCAGGTGTTAGTGAGAAATTCAATAAGCAATTCAGCTTGCAAACCTCAGAACTACAGCAGAATCTCTTCGAGAAAGGTAAAAGACAAACAAACATATCTACGCAAAATTAGGGTGAAAAAGGAGCAAGAACAACACGAAGAGATAGAAGAAAAAATAAATGAATGAACCTGGAGAAGCAAACATCGAATGAATCATCAAGAAGCATTTGGCGCGAGGTCTCCGCCTGAGACTCCCCTTTGCTAGTGAGCACAGAGATATCGGAGCTACCTTGGATCCGACCCTCGGCATTCCACGTGCTCTGCCCGTGCCTGACCAGCACCACTCTCTTGGCTGCCTGCAGCGGCGGCAGAGGTATGCTTTCCCAGCTCCTCAAGAGCTCCGCCCTGCCATCCGACGGCGTTTTTTCGACTTGCTGCACGCTGGAAGATGACTTGACAACACGAGTTCTGAAGGATTTCTCGGCCGGCTTCCGATGGTGGAGGGGGAGGAGGTGAGGAGTTAGCGCAGGTGAAGCCATGCTTCCTCCAATTCTCAGTCAGATTGAGGAAGCTTGGTGGGTGAAGAAGATGATAATGAAGATTATATGGTTAGTTTGGTTTTGAATTAATTATTGGCGTGGGAATAAAAATTGTCGGATATGTTTAAGGGTGTGTTTGGAAATGAGGTTACAGTTTTTATAGCTAGCTGTTAGCGTAGATGATTAAAATTAGCTGGTTTAATTACTTGACAATTGAAAATAATATTTTAATTTTTAAAATTTTTTAATTATATTTTTTTAATTTTAAAATTTTTATTATTAATTATTTAAAATTATAAATAATAATATTTTAAAGATAAATAAAGAATAAAAAAAATTAAAATAAAAAATCATTTTAAAAAAATTGAAACTCTATTATATAGTTTTTCAGAAATAGGTTTTTTAGATCAAATAAATTATTTCAAAAAACTGCTTTTTGATCGATCAAATGGTTAAAACTCTTAAATAAACTATGAAAAACTTTTAAATAAATTGTTCGTCAAACACTCTAAAATAATCATTTTTTAGAATTAGTTGAAATACATAAGTTTGTTTAGATTTTATTTTTGGAAGTTTTTTAAAATTTAGAAATTAGGTGATGTGATGGAAAGAGAAATATATATTTTATTATTTTATTTGGATGATGTAGGAATAAAGTGTGGAGTAGAGATCATACATTATTAATTATTTTCAATTTTAGAAATATTGCATGGTGTTTGGATAATGTTGTAGACAGAGAAAGTATTATTTTTTAAATTTTACATCAAAAGTCAATATAAATCTTTAAAATTTAAAAAATAAAATAAAATATATTTTATTCACAAAATATTATTGGATACTATTTACATAAACTCAATAAAATTTGATTTCAATCAATATGAGACCACAAAAAACCCACTATAATGAATAATCTAACAAATCCAACTCCTATTATTTTATTTTGTTGTTGGGTGAAAAATAATATTCAAAAAATAATATCTGAATCTAATAGAAAAAGTAATGAGGTAAGATAATGTTGAGAGCAGAGGATGATGCTTCGATACAAGGTCCCTGGAGTAAGCTCCAGATAAATCGTAGCCACTTATTTTACTTACATCGAACGGTGGAAATGAATATCATGGTGTTTCTCTCCCTCAAGCTCCCGGGTCTTAGAAACGTGAAATCTGTGTCTTCCTTCCTCCCTTCCAAACATTAGTAGTTGTCTCTCTACTGTCATCTCTCTCTCTCACACACAACACGCACTGATTCTCTCTCTCTCTCTCACTCACTCACTCCCACACACCACACCCAAAATCCAACAACCTACAGATCTTCTCCACACGCTCTCAATTTTCAATTCGTAAACCCCTAAAATCTGCTCAGATCTGCTCCCACATTCTTGATTTCTACTGTTTTGGGGTTTAATTCTTCTCTCCCATGGCGGTTGCTGCTGCTACCATGGATTTCTATCTCTAGTGCTATTGTAGTTTTTGAGTAAATGGCGAGCTCCGACCCTAGCAAGAATCCCCGGTCAGACCAATGGCCGCCGGCGCCGGATTCCGCTGCAATGCCTCCTTCGTCCTGGGCTAAGCGCACTGGATTTCGCCCCAAATTCTCCGGCGAGACCAATGCCAGTGAGTCTGGTCAATTTACTCCTTTACCCCCTCCCCCACCCCCGCCTCACGCGCCGGCAAAACCTAGAGTTCCGGATACTAATCTGGATCTCGAATCCGGCCGTCCCCGGCCTAGACCTACTTCAAATGGAGAGGCTGTGGTTGCGAAAGAGAAGGAGAAGGAAAAGGAGCAGACGCAGCAAGTGAAAAGGCGGAGGGATTCCGATGGGGGGAAAAATTCGGGGGGAAATACACAGGCGACGGCGACGGGCGAGGGAAGCCGGGGGACGGCGAGGAATGACGGTGCTCCGGCGGCGGATGTCCTGCCTCAATCGGTGATGGATGACGAAGGGTTTGTGGGCAGACATTCGCATATGAAGTATGAGCTTAGAGACACTCCTGGCCTCGGTGAGCATTATCAGTTCCTGATAAATTCGACATTTATAGTCTGGAGGATGAATCTCGTGACCATTTGCAACCTGAATTCTTAAAAAAGTTGCTGTTAAAATTTTGCAGTTCTTGAGCATAAATGGATTCTCAATTTTGCAGTAGACTGTTTGCCATGGAATGTTTGATCCTCACTTATTATTATCTTGATCTTGATCTTGTGTTGTTTGTCTGTTAAAATGAATGATTGTTTATCTTTGCTGTTCTTATGTGTTGTTTCAGTTCCGATTGGTTTCTATGGAATTCAGCATTTTCTATCTATATTGGGATCGCTGGTTCTAATCCCGCTCGTCATTGTTCCGGCAATGGGTGGCACTTATGTGAGCACATTTACTTCTTTCAGACGTTTAATTCGCTAATCTTCGTTACGTTGAAATTGTCGGTCTTGAATATGTTGTTATGACTGTTGCCATTTTTGTAGGAAGATACGTCGAATGTAGTTTCCACCGTGTTATTTGTGTCAGGAGTGACGACACTGTTGCATACGTCGTTTGGTTCAAGATTACCGTTGATACAGGGTTCTTCGTTTGTTTATCTTGCCCCTGCTCTTGCGATTATCAACTCTCCCGAGTTTTTGGGGCTTAATGGAAATGTATGCATTTGGATTGAATTGCTGTTTACTATAATTTCTAGTTCTTTCTTTTTTGTCCGAATTTTTTTGTTATCAGTAATTAGTAATACATTTACTTAATTCAAAGCTGATAGTTTGCCGGTGCCTCTTGTCATGTATTTATTTATAGTCGAAGTTTGTTTTTATGAAGTTTAATCACACTGTGTGCTGAGTTCTTATTAGTCTAGTCTATAGGAAGATTTAAAGTATCAATTTTCCGACATGAAAACAGTCAAATGGAGAATCTAATTTACCTGTTTACTGCATTGTTCTATTTATGACATTTGAGTTTTGTGACACTGAGGGGGTCATCAATGATGAAGGAATCATGTTTATTCGACGGGGTTCCCTTATCATTTGAAGAAAATATTAGTGAAGTGTACCATGAGCAAAAGATACGAGTTTGTTTGGTTGTAGTTTGAAATTGATCTGAAATGAGACGTTGATTTGAGTTCTTATTTAAATAGTATTTTGATATAATGTTTTGTGATAAAAAATAGTGTATTTTTATTGGCAATCGCGCAGGATGAATAGTGTTGATTTTAGTTTCAAATTGTAACCAAAGTACCTATGGATCTTGCGTGTAGGTAAATAGTAACTATGCTAGCTTAGTTTTTCCCCATTAAAACTGAAATAATGTAATCCTTGATAATTTCCCTAATGGAATGATTTTGGAGATTAATTTGCTAATCGAGAAGGTCTCTTAAGGTGATTTCTCTCTTAGGAAGTATTACTTGGTTGCTTTAAAATCTTTTGCCTTGTTAAAAACTAAAAGAAACACTGATGTTTGATAGCATTCAACCGTGTATTTCCTTTACGTTTTGAGGCTATGTTTTTCAAAATTGTTATATATATATACTGTTGTGTTTAGGCCTCACTGTCTCCGTCCCTGTTCATTGACAGAATTTCAAGCACATAATGAAAGAGCTACAAGGGGCCGTAATCATTGGGTCGGCCTTCCAGGCCCTGCTGGGGTACAGTGGTTTGATGGCAGTATTTGTAAGGTATAAAGTTCTCTACGGTAAAATAATCTCTCTTATTTCATTTGTCGTTCGCCTTTTGTGATTTATACAAAGTTTGTTTAGAGATTTAACAGTTTTGTGATGATAACTTTTTTATCATACATATGCTGCTGTTATCACTTCTTGTTCCTGAAGTTACTCGGCTTTAATATTTGCAAAAACATTATTGAAGCATATCCTTTTTTATTTTTTTACTGTTCCTGGATTTTCCCCCCACCCTTTGTTTAAATTTACTAATCTTGGTCGATTAGAGCAATATATTAAATGACCATTGGATTGTTCTTTGATAGGTTAATAAATCCGGTTGTTGTGTCCCCTACGGTTGCTGCTGTTGGACTTTCGTTCTATAGCTACGGCTTCCCTCGAGTCGGAACCTGTATCGAAATTGGTGTGGTGCAGATATTACTGGTTATCATATTTTCCCTTGTAAGCTCAGTAACCTTATTTTATTAGCGTGTCAATGTTACCTAATCGTTTTCTAGAAGTCGAGTTCATTGATAGGCCAGAGCTGACTTTTCTGACATAACTTCTTCTGCAGTATCTTCGTAAAATATCAATATTGGGTCATCGTGTATTTCTAATTTATGCGGTAAGATAATTTGCATTTCCTTCGTGCGTATTTTCTTTTGCTGCGTGCGTATTTGATCTAATTTTTGTTTGATTAATCATAGGTTCCCCTTGGTCTGTTCATTACATGGGCTGTGGCCTTTCTTTTAACGGAATCCGGAGTGTATAGCTATAAAGGCTGCAATGCTAATGTCCCCGCCTCCAATATCATTTCCGACCACTGCAGAAGGCACATTTCGAGAATGAAACATTGCCGAGTCGACACTTCTCAAGCCTTGAGATCATCGCCATGGTTTCGATTTCCTTACCCGTTGCAATGGGGGATGCCTGTATTCCATTGGAGATCAGCCGTCATAATGTGCGTGGTGTCGATAATCTCATCCGTCGATTCTGTGAGTCTGCGCTCGTTTCTCCTATTTCATATTTCAGTCAAATATTCTTCCTATGAGTTTGATTTTATACTTCATCGGGATGGAAATTGTGTTTGTTTGGGGTTTTGAATTTTAAGTTGGGATTTGAATAGTAAAATATTTTGAATTTGAATAGCTCTGTGATGTGATATAAACAAGTATTGATGAGATGTTTTGAATGTAAAATTAATTTTTAGTATAATATAAAAAATAAGTGTTTGATTTGATGTTTTTGCGGGGAGAAATTTGATGAATAGTAGATTTTTTGGAAAGTTCCATAAACAAACACACTGTTTGGAAGATTTGTAAGGATTTTTACTATTCACCAAATTTTTTTCCACAAAAAATATCAAATCAAATACGTATCTTTTATTTTTTATATTATATGAAAAAATTAATTTTACATTCAGATCAATATTTTTTATATTACATCATACAATTATTTCAACTCAATATTTTTACTATTCAAATCCTAATTCAAAATTCAAAGCTCCAAACAAACACACTATGGGGTTTTAGTTTTTGGATTTTGATTTTTAATAGTAAAAAATTGAATTTGATTTGATATTTTTTGAGGAAAAATAGAGACTGAATAGTAAAAATTTGTGTAAAATCCACAAAAGAACACAATCTTAGTGTCTTTTTAGTCTCGATTTGGTTATAACTGAGAAGAAATTGCCCCGCTCGATTTCTAGGTCGGTTCATATCACGCGTCGTCGTTGTTGGTGGCGTCTAGACCCCCGACGGCCGGGGTTTTGAGCCGCGGCGTCGGTCTCGAAGGGCTTTGCAGCATTTTGGCAGGTCTGTGGGGCACGGGAACCGGCTCGACAACTCTGACGGAAAATGTTCACACCATTGCTGTAACTAAAATCGGAAGCCGCAGAGCTGTCGAATTGGGGGCCATCATAATTGTCGTCTTGTCGCTTATAGGTATAATTTTTAAATTACGAATTTTTCGAAAAGTTTGTATCTAATCGCTCGACATTTACGTTTTTTGCGCTACCAGGTAAGGTCGGGGGCTTTATCGCATCGATACCAGAAGTGATGGTTGCAGCTCTTTTGTGCTTCATGTGGGCAATGCTGACCGCATTGGGTCTGTCGAATTTACGGTACAGTGAGGCCGGGAGTTCGAGAAATATTATCATAGTCGGATTGTCGTTATTCTTTTCCCTATCGGTACCCGCCTATTTTCAGCAGTACGGAATCTCCCCGAACTCGAACCTTTCCGTTCCGAGCTACTTCCAGCCGTACATCGTCGCATCCCACGGTCCAATCGACACCAAATTCAGCGGGGTATTCGGTTTCTTCTTTTTTCTTAAATTAATATTCGACTAGGCGTTCTAACGTGTTCACCGTTTCGTTTATTTGTTGTGGCAGCTGAATTACGTTCTGAACACATTGTTGTCGTTTAACATGGTGATTGCGTTTCTAGCGGCGGTCGTGCTTGACAACACGGTCCCGGGCAGCCACCAGGAGCGCGGCGTGTATGTCTGGTCCGAACCAGAGGCTGCTCGACGGGAGCCCGCCGTGTTGAAAGACTACGAGCTGCCGTTCGGAGTCGGTAGGCTCTTCAGATGGGTGAAATGGGTTGGTCTTTAGTCGATCGAAAGAAATGTATATGTCGATATCGAAACTGAATCGTCGATACCTGAACCCGGCGCGGCGGAGCTCGTCTCGTCATCGGGATTCGGAACCTTCTAGAAGCTTCTCCGGCAATGTGTGTGATGCAGTAAGATTTTGCGGGAGTTAGCCAATTTTAGAAAATGATGAGTTTGTTGTGTATATTACATTTTAATTTGTATTTGGTTGGTGATGGGATTTGTGATTTTGGTGTCTCTAATGTCGCTGGTAGTTGTTGAAAATCGTGAACGCGCTTTTGTATATTCTTTTTTTGAGTTTTTTAAATGGGCATTGGACATTGATGGTGGTTTATTTATTGGCAATTTACTTTTTGGGTGTGTTTGTTTGAAGGATTTTGGAGGATTTTCACTATTCATCCAATTTTTTCCCCCCAAAAACATCAAATCAAACACCTATTTTTTATTTTTTATATTATACTAAAAATCAATTTTACATTCAAAACATCACATCAAATCCTATTTATATCACATCATACAACTATTCAAATTCAAAATTTTTACTATTCAAATCCCAATCTAAAATCCAAACCCCCAAACAAACACACCCTTTATGTTTTTGTGCTTATTTATTATTACCTCACTTTTTTGAGGTTTATTTGCCTTGCTGTCCTGTCTTCTAGTTGATTGACAGCATTTGCGCACGTGCGGTAGTAGTTGAAGCACGTGCTTTTTGAATCGGTTTGGATGTGCGACCGGTATACATGTGTTTAATACACGTTTTATTTTATATTTTTTATTTAAATAATTGTTTAATTAAATTATGGGGATGTAGTCAACACATTAACGGGAAGACAGACAGCATAATGTTATGACATATAGAAGTTCGTGTTGCTTATGTATTTACACTATCAAAAATATACTTAGGGTGTGTTTGTTTGGGGGTTTGGATTTTGGATTGGAATTTGAATAGTAAAAATTTTGAATTTGAATAGTTGTATGATGTGATATAAATAGGGTTTGATGTGATGTTTTGAATGTAAAATTGATTTTTAGTATAATATAAAAAATGAAAAATAGGTGTTTGATTTGATGTTTTTGGGGGAAAAAAATTGGATGAATAGTGGAATTCTAATCTAATCCTTCAAACAAACACACCCTAAGGGTGTGTTTGTTTGAAGGATTAGATTAGAATTCCACTATTCATCCAATTTTTTTCCCCCAAAATATCAAATCAAATACCTATTTTTATTTTTTTTATATTGTACTAAAAATAAATTTTACATTCAAAACATCACATCATCACCTATTTATATCATATCATACAACTATTCAAATTCAAAATTTTTACTATTCAAATCCCAACGTAAAATCCAAACCCCCAAACAAACACACCCTTATTGTATTAAAATTAATATTTCTATCTTGTGTTATACAAAATATAAAATTATATTGTACTCTTTTCGTTCCAAAACTATAGTCTGGGTAGAGTTGTTAGATGAATCGAGCCGTTCGTAAACTCAGCTCTCGATTCGACTCAGTTAAAGCTCGTTTGCGAACGTTAATGAGCCGAGCCGAACAATATAAACATGCTTGTTTAGTTAACAAACGAGTCCGATCTTTGTTCACGAACGTTCGTTTAAATAATATATTTATTATAAATATTATATATACATATAAATTTATAATTTATAAATAAATAAAATATTAATTTAAAATATATAAATAAAATAAATTTTAAATTTTCTTTATAATTTATATAAATTTAAAAAATAAGACAAACGAGCTCGAACGAGCTTAATCGAGCCGAATACGAACACGAGCTCAAACAACAAAAATTCTTAATGAGCCGAGCTCGAACACTACGAATGAGCTCGAAAGCTTAAAGAACGAACACGAACCTTGTTCGCGAATGTTAACGAACACTTAAAATTTGGCTCGGCTCAGCTCGGATCGTTAACAGCTCTAAGTGTGGGTTGTGTTTGGCACGGGATTTAAGAAATATTAATATTATTTTGACAGTACGTAAAAAGTATGGATAAAAAACTTTTTTGCCCTTGTGAGTGTATTAGTATAAAAAGTAGTGACAATTATGTAATAATAATGAAAAAATAAAAGTAATTTTATAGTGATATGATTATTTATGAAAATAAGACTATTGTTTTATGATGAAAAAAAAATGGTAAACAGGACTATTGTATTTGGACGGAGGGAGTATTTTATTTTATTGTTCTCAAATCAAAAGAGTATCTGGAGTTTTGTAATAGTTTAAAAAATAATACTCCCTCCGTCCCAAAATTATAGTTTGGGTTGTGTTCAACACGAGATTTAAGGAATATTGATATTATATTGGTAGTGGGTAAAAAGTATAGGTAAAAGATTTTTTTTGCTCTTGTGAGTGTATTAGTGTTAAAAGTAGTAGCAATTGTGTAATGATAATGAAAAAATAAGAGTAGTTTTATAGTAATATAATATTTATGGAAATGAGACTATTGTGTTTTTACGGAGGGAGTAGCATTTTATTAATAAGTGGAAGTGTGAAAAAAATTTTATATTTTTGTCAATTGATTTTATGCATAAAATAATTGCATATGTAATGAATGGTATATTTATAATTAAGTAAAAGTTAAAAATATTTTAATATTAGTAAATAATTTTTTTAAAAAAAAATTAAAAATAAATAATGAATATATATGATATATTAATATTTTTTCTTAAAATATATATAGTTAAAAAAAAGAACACACAATTTTTTTTTCCAAATTGTTTATTTGCACACTAACCGCGTCATTTATTGTGGTCATTTATTTGTCATTTGGGTTGTGTTTGTTTGCACTTTTTTTTTTCAGAATTTAATATTTATAAAAAAATTCTAAAAAGTCAAAATAAATATTTTTAATTTTTATATTATATTAAAAATAATTTTATATATTCATTTATTTATATCATATTAAATAACTATTTAATTACAAAATTCACACTCAAACAAACACACTCTTATATAAATTTTAATCTAATCAAGATTTTGAACAGATGAAATAAATTATTCATAAATTATTTTAATTAAAAATAAATAATAACATTAGAGGGTCTTCCACCAACTTTTGTTGCGTCACTTGAAATAATTGGAAACGCTTATAAAAGTCATATCACTTTTACGCATTATTGACAAATAGCCATCACCAAAGTAACTATCATCAATTTGTATTTATAATTTATTTGATTTTTTATTTTTTTTTCATAAAAATAGATGCATTTACTTTTCAGAAAAAAAAAAAACCCTTCTTACATTTTAATTTATTAATTATTATTTTCTATTTTGAATTATTTTAAAATATTTATATATTTTTTTAAAATTTTATACTTAATTTTACTTTTTTATCCTTATCAATATAATTTATATAATATATCACAAACAAAAAATTAAATAAAAAATAATTAAAAAAATAGTACTATCAAATTTATATTGAAATATTTTATTAATATTATGAGATTCACAAATATTAAATTCAAATAATATATTGACCATGTTCATCATCTTTGCGTAATTAGAACCATAATCGTCCTCCTACATTGCATAATTACCCCTCCGTCTCATTAGAAGGGTTTAGAAGGGTGATGTTTACGTTTTGCACGTAAAATTTTTTAATATTCCATTCGTCCAATTAAAAGGTTATTATTTTCTATTTTCGTTCGTTCCAAAAATAAGGTTACTATTTCCTAATTTAAGAATTGTATTATCTACTTAACATAATAAATAGTATTTCAACGTATAATATATTACACAAATGCCATTATTTTTATATTACACTATATTAATAGGGATATTTTTGTCTTTTTTTACTATAATCTAATATAATATTAATATTTAAAAATTTATGTGCAAAAAGCAAATGCCACATTTCTAATGGGACGGAGGGAGTATTAATATTATATTGAGTTGTAGTAAAAAAAACAAAAGATAAATACACTTCTATTAGTATTGTGTAATATAAAAATAATGATATTTGATAATATAATGTAAGTTAGAAGAGTATTTATTATATTCGATAAACAATACATTTATTAAACTAAAAAAAATGATAATCTTATTTTTGGGACGGATAAAAATAAAAAATAATTAACTTTTCGAATAGACATAAGGAATATATTATGTTTTGAATAAAATACTTAGGCTGTTTTTAAGAAAAGGACACACCCAATCCAAATTTAATGCTCATAGGAAATGTTAAACACTAATTTACATGATATACATATAGTAAATTGGTTCCATTCGTAAATATTTAAAGTTATTTTTTTAAAAAATAAAAAATAAAAAAAATAAATAATAGGTGTTTGAAACTAATCAACAAAATCATTCTTATTTGGATTTGTTTGATTGTTTTCTTTTTTTTTTTTTGAAATATTAAAAATTAGAATTTTACTAATTGTCATCATGATATAAATAGATATTTAGGGTGTGTTTATTTGGAGGATTGAATTAGATTTTTACTACTCATTCTATTTTCCCATCCCTTAAAACATCAAATCAAACATCTATTTTTTATTTTTTTATATTATACTAAAAATCAATTTTACATTCAAAACATCACATCAACACCTATTTATATTACATCATACAATTATTCAAATTCAAAATTTTTACTATTCAAATCCCAACTCAAAATCCAAACCCCCAAACAAACACACCCTAATACTCCCTCCGTCCCAATACAATAGTCATGTTTACCATTTTTATCAATTTCAAAACAATAGTCTCATTTCCATAAATAACCATATCATTATAAAACTACAATTACTTTTTTCATTATTATTACACAATTGTCACTACTTTTTACACTAATACACTCATAAAGGCAAAAAAGTATTTTATCCATACTTTTTACCCACTACCGATATAATATCAATATTTCTTAAATCCCGTGCCAAACACAACCCAAACTATTGTTTTGAGACAGAGGAAGTATGATATTTTAAATATAATTTATATACTTTCTCCGTCCAATTTCTATTGTTCTAAAGTATATTTGCACGATTTTTTAAGTGATTGTCTTTTTGTTATGAATTGACAAATCTGTCCTTAATTGTATGGTACAAATTAAAAATAATAAATGAATGAATGGTAAAAATATAAAAAATGTGTTTAAAAATAAAATGGGACAATAGTTGTTGAACGTACCAAGAAAATATGATATTAGTTCGTGGACGGATGAAGTATAATATATTAAGTAAAACAACAAAATAGTGAGAATTGTATTGTAAAAAATAATAATAATAATAATAAAATAGAATGTTTGCGTGTTTTTTTTTTTTTTTTTTTTTTTTTTTTTTTTTTTGTAATAAGTGGTAAATTTTGTTAGGAAAGAAATTGAAATTATGGATAACTTATCTTCTTCTGTCATTGCCACTGCTTCAAGAGAATTACTAACATTCTTCTTCTCCAATCATTCGAAATTACTCAATACGTACGTATACATACATGTATATATATATATATGATTTTATTAATTACTAAAAACATCATATATATTAAATATTTATATAATTATATAGGAAAATATAATTTTGATTTTAACACAATATATTCTGACTTTAGCATTATAGTATAATAAACATATATATTATAATACAACATAATATATAACTCACATGGTAAATATATATTTTGTATAATTATTTACGAAAAAGGTAAAAAACCAACAAATACAAATTACTCTATTTGTAATCAAAATTTATGTCTATTTTATCCGTTGTCATAAAAAAATATTTTTACTTTTATTTAAAGCAAAAACACAATTTTGTTATTATAAAAAATAATTTATTTTTATCATTTTTTAAAAAAAAATCAGTATCCGCCCAAACGAGCATAAATTTAATATACAAATTACAACCCAACCATAAAATTAGTTAGAGATTAAAAAAAAAAATAAAAAAATAAAAGGAAAGGGGTAGGTGAGAGTAACCCGACCCGATCCAACTCAGCACTTCAGGCACAGACCCGCAGCCAACCAGCGTGTAGCTTATGCTCATTAACATTTCTTTCCTTCTTCCTCACCCTACCCCCACCCCCCACCCCCCACCATACCCATCTTCTTTAATCTTCCATTCCCCTTCCCCATTCATCTCCCGATATAAAAGCCCCCCTCCACTTCTCCCCCATTTCTTCCTCAGCTTGTATGGATCGAGCTTCTCTCCTCATCCATTCACAAGCTTCTTCTTTAATACCCCACGCCCTTCCCCTTCTCCATTATTATCCTTATCAACAATCAAGAATCAAAAAAGCCCATTTCTGATTGATTCGATTTGAAATTTCCAAAAAAAATAAAAATTGAATTGAATACAAATCATATCATATATGGCTTCCCTTACCTCTTCTTTCTTGGATCTGAATCCCTTATCCCATACGACATCGTCTCCGGGGGGACCCGGTCTTTCCCGGATCTACCTCCGCGACAGGATTCGGGTACCAGCGGCTAATCTAAACACCAACGGTACCGGGGCTCCGGTCACCTTCGGTTCCGGGCAAGTGGGTCGGTTCCGCCACGAGTGGCAGAGCGCGTGCGCCATACTCGCCAGTAAAGTCGTCTCCCAGCAGCAGGACACTGAGAAGAGCGGCGGCGGCGCCGACGGAATCTCCGCCGTCAACGGCCATCCGACGCTCGACCTCGTCCCCGTCAAAGACGAGTCCAACTCGCCGGCGCCGCTGCCGAAACCTCTCAGCATCGCCGACCTCTCCCCGGCGCCGATGCACGGCTCGAAGCTCAGAGTCGCCTACCAAGGCGTCCCCGGCGCGTACAGCGAAGCCGCCGCCGGAAAAGCTTATCCGAACTGCGATCCGATTCCTTGCGACCAGTTTGAGGTGGCGTTTCAGGCGGTGGAGCTCTGGATCGCCGATCGAGCCGTTTTGCCGGTGGAGAATTCGTTAGGCGGCTCGATTCACCGGAATTACGACCTCCTCCTCCGCCACCGCCTCCACATCGTCGGCGAGGTTCAGCTCCCCGTCCACCACTGTCTCTTAGCTCTCCCCGGCGTACGGAAGGAGTATTTAACGCGCGTGATAAGCCATCCCCAAGCATTATCGCAGTGCGAGCACACGCTAACAAAAATGGGGCTGAACGTGGCGCGTGAGGCGGTGGACGACACCGCCGGCGCGGCGGAGTACATCGCGACGAACAGTCTACGCGACACGGCGGCGATTGCGTCGGCACGCGCCGCCGAGCTGTACGGACTCCAAATCCTCGCCGACGGAATCCAGGACGACTCCGGCAACGTGACGAGATTCGTAATGCTCGCCAGAGAACCGATAATTCCGCGAACAGATCGGCCGTTCAAAACGAGCATCGTTTTCGCGCACGAGAAGGGGACGAGCGTTCTCTTCAAGGTTCTGTCGGCGTTCGCCTTCAGAAACATCAGTTTGACGAAGATCGAGTCGCGACCGCACCGGAACCGGCCGATCCGCCTCGTCGACGACGCCAACGTCGGCACGGCGAAGCATTTTGAGTACATGTTCTACGTTGATTTCGAGGCGTCGATGGCGGACGTGAGGGCGCAGAACGCGTTGGCGGAGGTTCAGGAGTTCACGTCTTTCTTGAGAGTGCTGGGAAGTTATCCAATGGACATGACGCCATGGACGCCGTCGGCGAGCTCCGCCGGAGACGACGACTAGCGAAATTACGGATTTACCCTCACCCGCCCGACCGCATTATATTATTTGGAACTTATTAATTAAATTTTCAGTAAATTTTTATGCAAAACAATATGTAATTTATGAAAATTGTGCCTAAATTCTTATTGTTTAAAAACTGGATCGAATTTCTTTATAAATTCTGAAATTACGTATTTAACCTCATCACTTTAGAAGTATGAAATTACAATTAATAATTGAAGGTAAATGCAAGACTATATAATAGAAAAAATTGTACAAATTTCATAATATACAGGTGGGTTTAAAATAAAAAAAATAAAATAAAAAGGAAGTAGATACACCAACCATTCAATTCAAAATTGTGAATTTGTAGGTGGGTAGGTTGGAATTGCTTTTGTTGATTGATCATGATAGGTAAGGGCAAATATGTAATTTCATGTCCACACGGGATACGCCGTCACGTGTAGCATATTGGGTCGGGTCCCACTTGAGGTTCCCAGCTACCCCGAAATGGTGGTAGGGGTAGGTAAAGGGGTGTAATTGTAATTCCGTACATTATTATTATTATTGTTGTAGTGTTTGAAATAATATCATCAAAATAATGGCGCTTGTTTGAATGCGGGGATTAGCTTGGATTTTAATTAAAAATTTTATATATTTTGGGATAACCATTATAGTTAAAAATAATTTTATATTGAATATTATTTTAATATTTTATTTAAAATTTTACCCTAATGTGAATCTTACATCGAAACACACCAATGACGATGGAATGTATATGTCAAGGAGGTTGGGGATGAGTTCAAAGTTGGAATTTGATTTGTTTGATATATATCCCAATTAAATTAGTAACATCATTTATTTCATAACTGAGTCATTTTCGGTTGCCTCAAACATGTAGGCTAGGGTGTCTAAACTTTAATTGCGTATGCCTACTTTTAATTTGGTTTTATTTTTTATTTTAGCTAAAAGTAGTATAAATCTGATATTTTGTAAAAAAACAAATATATAAATATATATATATATACTCCTTAATAGTTATATAACAAAAAATTAACAACAAATAAACATTGTGGCTAGAAGGTCTTGATAATTGTCTTAATTTAGCAATATTTTTTAGAACATAAACTCATTGCCATCTTTTTGATTTCCCCTTAAATGTAAAAAATATGTTAATATCCTTCCAAATATTAATAATTCTATCCAATACATTTAGAGTATCTATTAATGATCAAGATCAACTAGTAGATATTATGATATAAATTCATTTAAATTTCTTTTATTCTCTTTATAGTCCAAGATTAAAAGTTGCACTTCCCTTTTATTTGATGTAATATTTCCAATTAAAAAAATGATATATATCTTGTAAACATATCACTTCCACAAGGATGTATTTATTTTATAAGATGTGATTGTAATCTATACTATTATTTCATAAATTATATAATCATAAAGGCAGGCAGGCAGTTAGCTGACAGCATATAGCATGCTAACAAACAATACACAACAACAACAACAACAACAATAATAATAATAATAATAATAATAATAATAAACACATTTAAATTGACAATAAGTCTTAAGGTATATATAGAAAGACACTTAAAATTAAAGAATGCATCTTAACAAAATTCAATCTAAAGGGAAATTACCTCAATAATCTTGGAATACAATACACCCCAATGTAGTAAGCAACAAAGTAGCCATCCATCAGAAGGTCCTCGAATACTTTCTAATTTCGTACATGATCGAAGATATCGAAACCAAATCCTTGTTCAAGGCAGATCCGCCGGCAATTTTCTTCATGCAATCCGAAAGCCTAGTGTAATAAAGCAATAGCTGAGTGAGAGCGGCTCTTAGAATTTCCATACCACATAGGAAGTTGCTGAACGAAGTTATGACATCATTGTGCATCAGCTCGATCGCAGCTTTCCATCTGCTTGCAAAGTCCTTGACAATAGGCTCAACTTCGCTCACAGTAATTGGGCGCTCTGAACCAGAAGCCGAGTCCTCGGCTAAAAACATGAAGATTTAAAGTCAATGGGGAAAAGATAGACAAAATCGAATTTCAATTGGCTATAAATATTATGTTAAAAATATATAGTAGCACATACAAGCTCTCATCTTCACAAACTTGATCAGATCACTGAAGTGTTCTTTCAGTAGTTCCTCCTGCATAGGAAGACTCGGTTAAGTTGCATAAAGTCGATTGGAGCGAGTTAATTTGGCGAACTGTTGTCTAGACAAAGAAGTTCATATTGGCTCGAACTCTACCAACAAATAACAACTTGACCCTTTCTGAAAATAATTTATTGAAAACTCAAAAGTTGCATTATAATTCCTAACGAAGATAGAAGATAGAAGCCTATAAATAGACATGATATACAGACTCGATAGACTCAAATCTAAATAATCTAATCCCTCCGTCCTAGCTAATTTGTCTCATTTAGCTTAGACACAAAGTTTTAGATATTATGTAATTAGTAAGTAATTAAGAAATCTATTACTGAAAATAATTATAATTTAATAAAAATAATTATAAATTAAGATGACTAAATATTTTAGTTAAAATAAAAAAATTATAAATTATGAATTTTAAAATATAATTAAAGTGTATAATTATATTTTCAAAAAAAAAAGACAAATTATGTGGAACGGACGAAAATGAAAATAGATAGAGGGGACAAATTAAGTGGGACGGATGGAATAATTATGTAGATAAGTCCAAATCTAAATTTACATCTACTATATCTAAAACTAAATATCTAAAATACCTCAATACTCTTCATACATATAAGGCAGTTGTGACATTTAATTGCAAAGAGTTATTTCCGGAAATGATAAATCGTCTCGTAAGGTTTGCAGGAAGAAGAAATAACAGGAACTACACAAATATATAAATAATTTCACAAGAACATTATTTTGCATAGTAAGGAGATATCATGCCACAATTACCACGTAGACTGATGTATTGTTCTTCAGCAACTCTTCAAAGTGCATATGAATTTTTCCCCCTTCGGCACCAGCTTCCTGAAACATTCAATACAGTTTGAGAACTAACATTTCCCTCCCCATCCCAACCAACCCCCTACAGATTTTGGCATGCACCAGATTTTTTTCTTCATGCCATGTGTAAGTAATTAAATGAACAGTCACAGACGTATATTTTAACTGCACTTCGAGCATACCTTCAATACTGCAATTGTCATGTCATAGTTATTTATCAAAAAAACAGTCTGCAGCTTTGGTTTCTGAAAGAGTTTGGCAAGCTTGACAAGCAAATCATCTACAGCCATTCGCAATCTTTCCAGGTTGAGTTCAAGCTGTAAAATATGGCCAGGTGTATAGATATATATACATATACATACACGTGAAAAAAGACTTTAAGATGGTGTTGTAACTCAAATAGCTTATGAATAAGCAACAGTGAAAAGTTTAATGATATATGCTCGTGTAATTCAAACCTGGCCATCTCCATAATCAACATTAAGGTGAATTAATGAAGCTGTAAATTCGGCGTAGCGCCTCATGACATAATGCGGATGTACATCATCTTCCCACAAAGTCCTGACATTGGCATTTCTTAGGCTGTTGAGGTGCATGTCAAATACCATCTTAAATCTTGGCCATAAAGAAATGTTGACCTGCCCAGATACATTGCAGTAAAGATAATTGATACATGCCACAAGTATGATAATTCCCCGTGTTCAGATAAAGACTTCAAGGAAACGCATGGAGCCTACATGGAAAATATTTTGTGTAGATAAAGAGAGTGCAAGCAAACATGCACGGTAATATATAATTTCTCCATCACATGGAAGCTAGAGTCCTCAAATTTAATGTCTGTATGGAAGTATGGAAATGCAAATTCTCAACAATTCTTAAAACCAACACCAACCAATTTGATGTCACTATTAAAGTAGGAATTTTCAGTCTTTCAGAAAATGACACGGGAACAAATCTTTATTGAGTAATATATATTTACCTTATCCAAGTAAGAATCTAGACATGGTATTCGCCGTCGAGACATAATAAGCTGAGAAAAGAAACCAATAAAAAGGTGTGAACTAAAAGGAACTCAATAAAAATTTGACATAACAAAACAAAAAGGATAAATGTGTATATATATATATACATACATCACCAGTGGGCATATCTTTTAAGAATGGACAATTACTACAGTACTAGGGTATCTCTACTTTCTTAAGAAGCACTAGCAACTGACCCAACAAGCTAACGCGTGTATGTGTGTGTGCTGTGAGAGTGTGTGTGTGTGTGAGAGAGAGAGAGAGAGGGAGAGAGATCTTGAAAAAAAAAATATCAAAAGAATGAGAGCAGCTTCTCTCAGACAAAGTTTGGGGAAAGAATGATAGACTAAGTTAAATTTCAAATCAGATCAAAGAGATGCATGTTCTCAATAATCTATTATTTATCTAAAAAGGAATTGGACTGCCATGCCAAGAAAATGTCATGATCATGAAGATTGAAGTACAAAACAAAACTGAACTAAAACCTGGGATGGTAATGAGCAGATTATTCAGAACCCGAGAACTATCCTGTCGATATTTTTGAGTACTAGGATGCAGAAACAAGATCATGCCACCCACTAGATCACTACACTTGCTTTAAATCTCATATATATTCAGGTTATGTTGTTTACAAAAAATTATCACACAAAAAATCAATTGAACCTTTTCCTGCAAGGAAAGAGCCACATTTTAGCACCATTTATAGCCAGATAGAAAGCTCTTCACTAACCCAAGCACCTCATTTCACAAAAAGCAAGGTCTGCTAAATCATAGCAAATATACATTGGAATTATTTTAGTTACTGAAAAATTAAATATAAAACAAATTAAAAATGTATGTGATTTAAGACTTGCATTTATTTTACTACAGAACATTAGTACATTACTTATATATACATATGCCAATTAATTGTTCATTTCAATGCATATATAATAAGAGAAAGAAATATTATATAAACAAAGGTTGAATTGAGTTCAGGTCCATTAATCAAAAGGCCTACCTCTTTATCATTTAAACCGATCCAACCAGGGATTGCACCCAAAACCAAATGTTATTTACTCTTTGATAGTAATATTCAATATAATAAAGACCAAAAGTTAGAAAAATATAAAGCAGAACAGATTAAACTTGAATCCTACACTTAAAAGAAAATATAGCAGGAAGAGTGGGAAATACCCAACAAAAAAAATAAACATAAAATTACTTGTGCATAAAGGGGTTTAAATAGACAAATTCACTTCAGCATTTTACCTGGTGCTGGTATATAATGCGTATCATGAGCATCAGACCAATGGCATCAAAACAATTTGCAAGCACCGTATTTAAGTGCTCATCAATTACTGAAAAGGGACCTGATAGATTAGAAAACAAAGTTCTCAATCACAATACACACATTATTATTCAACTGTTAACAAAATATAAACACGTGCAAATTTGAAGCTTCTGAACATAACTAGCATTTTTTGGGTGGAAAATTAATTGCAGATACCTGCGAATATGTCGTAAAACATAGATTGTTCTGCAAAGAATTCATCACAAAAAAGATATCTGAAAGATGACAGAAAGTAACATGTCATGCTGCAGGAAAATCACTAATATTTATTCTATCAAATGAAATATGAAATTAAACTTGATCAAAATGAGTTTGATAATACTCAGAAGCCGCAGTGTCCATAAGCAGTTTGTGCAAGCTCCTGAACAGGACTTCGTAAGGGTACTTCCTGGAGCTGGCTTCAGCAATATGTGGAATCAAAGCAGGTTCATCAATTTCCTGTAGAAAATAAGATAATGTTAAGAATAATTACTTTCGGAAAGCAGGATGTGAGGAATACCATTATAGTAGGAATTCCACAGCAAAATTAATTTAAAGTACACATTAATGAATAATGATAATGAGTAATGTTAAGAATAATTACTTTCGGAAAGCAGGATGTGAGGAATATCAACTCATAGCGCATCTACTACAAGTGGATATTCTGAGAGAAAGTAGGTGAGATTCAAACTATCTAAAGGCATAAATTTTTTTATGAATGATGCCTCCCATTATAAATGACTCAATCATTTTAAGCCTTTTCTGTTCAACGGTTCCTACACTTGAGAGTACTTGTGATTCTCTATGGGTAAAATGAACACCATTATCCAATGTTAGTACTAAAAACATAACCCAGCAGTTCAACAGTACATTTCATCTCAATGCAGAGCTTGTGCCAAATAGAGTAGAATAAAGGCAACACATGGTAATTTTACAGCAGCATCTCAAATTTGGGTAATTCAAAATTCGAAAGGAGCAACTTGGAGATTATTTCATAAAAAACCCAAATAAAGAGTTGTAAAAAAGATAGCCTAGCTTCAACTAAAATTTAAGAGAATAGTTACTAGAAGCAAAGAGAATAGAATAAATTAACCAAAAAGTAAATGGTTTTGCATGAGAATGAAAGCACCAGAATGCCTGCAAAAACACCTTTTATTATACATGAACAAAACATATACAGGTCCATCAGATGTACATCAAAAAATATTTGCTGGCACAAACATGAAATATGGAAGGAAAATAGGAAAAAGAAAGGAGTACATAAACATACACGGAAAAACAAAAAAAAAAAAAGAAAAAAGAACCCACTGGCAAAGTACTAATGTATTAGAAACTGCTGAGCCAAAATAAACCAAGTTAGAACGTTGGCACCTTCAGAATGTTTATCCTTTCACCCAAAGCAAAAACAGCAGAACGATTTTTCAAAGGCTCTCTTCCTCTTGAGAAAAGACTAGTGCTTCTGGTGTCAACACCAATCAAATCACTAGATGTTGCTATATCAAGTTGCAGCTTCTCCAGGGCCTGAATGTAAGCCCGAATTTTGGTGCTTAAAACCTGAAAAGTGATAATAACAACTGAATGTATGAGAATAAGGTCTGGTGCAGTGAATATTCATCCATCCTAATTTAAACTTAGAATTGTGATTTTGCAAGTATTTTACCTTATTCATGGTGTCAATATATGCAGATCGAACCTCAAGATACACTTCCTTACCATGCTCCTTAAGAAATGAAATTACATATCTGCATGTTGAGTCAACTATATTAAATATCATACCTGATGGTTTATTTAGAAAACAAATAACAGAAAATATTATTGGAGGTTCAGAATAACAATATCACCTTCTACATAGTAGTATAAGGCCTACATTACTATTTTTGAAGAGAAGTCCACCAAATCTACCATGCAATGGCTCCTAATACTCAGCAGTCAGCACCAATGCAAATTCTTAAGTGATTTTGAACAAATTATCTTAAAAAACTGGATTGCCCGATTGAGTACATGCCAAATACTTATGGAGTGTTTGGTTGGTGATTTTCTTTTGGATTGTTCTGGTTTTATGTTTGATAAGTAGTTTGGATGTGATTGTTTTTTTTTAATAAGAAAATAGTGTATTCTACAGAGAATCATGAGGATTGAATAGTGAAGAAATGAAAAAAGTTGTAATAAAAGAACACTCTTATACTTTGATTAAGGGCTTGTAAAATGAATCTGGATTCCACTCTCTCTCCAGGTAGAATAAAAAAAGTATCTGTTAAAGAATAGATAAGTTATTGGTCATATCCATTATATTAGATTACTTAGATTTGAGTCTATCGAGTCTGTTTTATATTGCCTATATATAGGCTTCTTATTTTGATGTTCAATAAGATAATTTCATTATTTTCCCCAAAATTTCTACCAGTATCTATGCATTTATTCAACACAACTTACTTGTATTTCAGAAGAACGCTTTGTTGAAGGATTTGAACATTTGTCTTGGGTTTCCTTAATGCTATTAGTTTCTGAAGGATGAAGTCGAATACCTTCAGAAGCACCAAAAAGGAAAGAAAAATAAAAGTTAAAGTACATACCGAGTAATATAGTCAATTTCAAGCAATTAATCACATGGTAATTGAAGGATTATAACACATTCACACATGTCAATCAACTGGATAATATTCAAAAAGAATGTAGACAAGTATGAGTAATCAAGAGACTATGTAACCACAACAATAACCAGTACATTGCCTACAGTAGAGAACATATAAGCAAATACATACCAATGAGCAAAGAGTAAATGCAGGAAAAAGTATAACACCAATGAGCTTTCCAAGCAACTTGTCATGATGCCGTAAAAATAATCAGGATATTTATATTTGCTTGTTTTGTTTTATTTTTTTGAATGACTTCAACATTCGTCTTGAATTAAAAGACAAAATATGATAACAGCCTTCAGGGATATTCCACTAGATGCATATATAATAAGATTTATATATATAATAATAGAAATAATAAAATAAAATAAAATAAAAAATGCAAAGGCTTATTCAAGTAAGTTAATTGAAAAAACATCAAATCCATCATGCACAACACTATATAGAGGGTGAAGGGTGGAAGACTCCTTATTATGTTCTGATCTATGCTGCAATAGAAAATATTCGCGGTTGGCTACATTTGGATCCATACTCTAGGTAAAAAGTCGCATCTATGTTCAAAGATTTTCAGGTCTTTGGTGATGTATCAATATATTGGACCACCAACAGATATATGAGAAATGAAAATGCAAAGGCTTATTCAAGTAAGTTAGTTGAAAAAACATCAAACCCATCATGCACAACACTATATAGAGGGTGAAGGGTGGGAGAGGGGGGGAATAAATCGTGGAGAAAATCCTTTAAAATTGCAAATCTTCTGGTGCATTTGTGTCTCAATTATCCATTCAGCGAAACAAGGTGGGTAATATTCTTAGTAAGTAAATGCATAATAACTATGTAGAATAGAAGAAGAGAAGAAAAACCACTAATCTCATTGAATTCAAGATTGTAGCATACCTTTGAAACTGCTTTTTGACGAAGCTTTTCTAGTTCCGGTTGAACATCATTTAGAGCTTTAGAAGTCTTCACCATTGCATCAGATTCAATAAACTTTATCTTTTTACTTAGAATCTCAAGGGTTCTCATATACTCCTCATTCACCTATAGAAATTAAACAACACACCAGTTCATCAACAGAAACACCAAGTGGTAAAGAATGAAAATAAATCTCAAGGGTTCTCATATAATGGGAATGAGGCATTCTTACGTATGAAAGAAAAAATTTTGTAAAGTCGAAAGAATTGATGATATACTCATATTGAAAAAGAAGGGAAGGGTTAAATCTGCTCTCATTTGACACTGAGATCAAGCCTCTCAGGGTTCAAATTCCAGCCAGGCCAATATTGAGAGCTAGATCAAGAAATTTCAAGACTCGATCTGAGTGTTGACCCAAGAGCGACATTTGAAGGCTATTGAACTTTAAAACCTCTTAGATCGGATGTTCAAGAGAACTCCAAACCATTTCACAAGCCTTTATGCATTAGGAAAATTCTCTACATCTATGGGTTTATTTTGGTTGAATAATGTCACAAACCAACAAGGACCTTTTTTTCCCACTCACTTGCTCCACCTTTTGTCAGTTTGTTCTACCCACACTTAGTCAACACCTCAGCGTCTATGCCTTCCCTAAACCAAGAGAACCCTATCTAGCAGCCACCTTACAAAGTTAACCGTTGTCATACTGTGTGACTTCATTCATCCAACAAACAAATTTACAAATCAAGAGAGAATATTATTATACTTGGGTTTTCAAAGGGTTTGTAAAATTTTATTTCTTTAGATGAATTGACTTTGACTTATCTTATATTTTATAGTGTGTTTGTTTGGAGGGCTTCTACAGAGATGGTAAATTTTGAAGAAACAAGAGACATTAGTACCTCTCCATCAACGATAACATCTATCATCCTTGGTGGGACAATGATGTCCTCAACAAATTTTGCTAATTTTGATTCAGCTGCCTGACAAAGCAAATAAGCATCTTATTATCATAGTATCTGAAGTAGTGATATAACATGAACGTAAGATTTAAATGTCCAAAATCCAAATGGTTGTTGCAAACATCTGGAATAATTAAATGCATGATAATAGAAGCACAGGGATCATGAATTTCGACAAAAGTATGGTTAATAGTAGCTCCGGCACCACAAAATTTGGCACAGCATGGTCTAAGGGTCTTTGACCAAACTTTCTAGAAATCCCAGTTTCCTTCTTTAGAATTACTTTCTGTCATTGTCCTCAATTGCTTATGGATGTTTCCCTAGCAACACCAACTGATTGATTTGGAGTTGCTCTTTTATATTTTGTACACTTTTTAGCTTCACTTCAAGTTTTTATATGCGGGCAGACCATAAAACACAAAAAGACAAGTGCACTGATTTTCATTCAAAATGAAGCCTCATAAGATGGAATTTAAGATACATTCAACATGGAATACACTTCAAATGTTTTAATTTAATGTGTTTTATTCAGAATTATACATTCATGTAGCACATTCAAAAAGAAAGATTACCATGATTCATGGCAAGCAAAAACAACGAGGTGCGATATTTCTAGACACTTTCTAACAAGCAATATATGTGTAAACAACTATAGATTCGTGGTTCAGTATTAAGCAAAAGGAGAGATCCTTAAAGTATTTAACAAAATATTTAGTTCAAGACCATTCGTTAAACTGGGAGGGCATGACCATGCATCAATAGTTAAAATGTTTTATAAACCAAAGGAGTTTAGGGGAAATGAATTTTCATTCAGTAGTACTAGAAAACTGTTTTCATCATAAGGGAGGACATTAATAGCTTTTCTATATGTCCATGTGAAATCTCACTTCCTCGTCCTTAGATTTCCAAATATAGCCACTTACAATCAATGCACATCAAACTGTGAAAGAGCAGATAGCTGAACCACTAGTATATTTATTTGTCTGATAATTACATTATCTTTCATAATACAGAGGAGATAAAGATTTTACCTTTCGATTCTTGAGCTTAAGCCCCATGTCCATAGATTTCTCTTGAAGAATCTTAATATCTGAGCTTATTGAACCAATTTCAGCCTTCCAAACCAATAAAAAGAAAATAGTTGTGAAATTCATAGAGAATAGTATAGCAACTCACAATAAGTAATTTACTAAAGCCAAGAAAACTGTGACTTAACAGCTTAACATACACAGATTGCGCATCTCCACTGGGGCATTATAACATTTGATTCATAGTTTATATTCTTTAGCTCTGGTTGATAGTTTGTGAAATATTTCATGACACCCAGCTAAGTCCTCTTATGAACAGCTAAACAATAATGGAATATGGCATCCCATACCTGAAATCCACTGAGAACCTTTTCCATTTGCGATAGGATGATGTCACAATCATGAATTTGATCATGAAGAGAAACTAAATTGTCACTTTCTTTAATGTAATCCTGGCATCAAACAACAAATACAAAAGATCATGAAAGGTAGGCCAAGCTCAAACACTGGAAACACATTCCTGTCCAAACAGATCCTAAATGTTCCAGAAAACATCACTCTAAGGTACAATTGACAGGCAACAAAATTGAACTTTCCAAAACATTTCTCCTCTGGACATATGACATAGGCATAAAAGAAAATATACAACGGAACAGAAATTCAAGGAAGATAGTGAGACTGAGTGCCGGATCAGAACCTCAATGGATTCGAGTTCAGATTGCCGTAAATTGTTCTCCACATCCTTCGTATAGTCTCGCGATTTCGTTCCTTTGGACAGTATGTTGGCAACTAACTTCAAGGCAGAGAGAAAAGTGCATATAATGAATCATTCAAATGATGAAATAGAAAAATGCAGTAGATTACAGCTTACAAACCAACCTCGTCAGCTTTGCAATCTTCGAGCTCTTGCTCCAATCCTTCTAATGAGACATCGTCACCAACCATGCTTTCTCCAGATCGCCTCCACTAACGTGCGATCGATGCCGAAACAGACGAAGCACGGGGCTAAACACGACGGCGGGGAGGGATCTGAAACGAATCGTCGATATCTATCGGCGCTGCACTCCTTGCGACGGAAGATGGTGATGAGGTTGAAGGAGACGGAGAGTTGGGGACTTCGATTGTAATTGATGTGCAAGTGGTACTATTTTGGTTAAGTTGTTTTTTTTTTCAAAATAAATAATAGAAAATAAAAAGTTCATGTGTTTTTTTATTGGATTTTAAATACATTCTTTCATTCCATTTTTTTTAAAAAAATATTAAATCAAATATTTATTTTTTATTTTTTATATATACGTATTAAAAATCAATTTTACAAACATCTATTCAAATTAAAAAAATTTACTATTCAAATCTCAACTCAAAATTCAAATCCATATGTCAATCCTTTTTGTCTTTGTTCATCAAAATTTTTCTTTAATATGATTTCTATAAGTATTTTATATGTTAATTTTAATATAAAATATTATTTTTTATATGGTCAAAATATTTTTAACATAAAAGATTCTTCAAATAAAAATAATAATAAAAAATATTCATACAATAAATAAGGTATATAATCCTTCTATTGTGTAAAAGTAGTTTAAAAAATATTTTTAGAACAAAGAAAATATATAATTCTTCTATCATGTAAAAGTAGCTTAACATATAGACAAAAAAAAAAATAATAAAAACATGAAAAATAAAAATAATTGAGGATATTTTTAAAATTTTAGTCAATAATTCATGACTATAAATAAATAGAATACTAAATATACTTATACATAGTTGGTTTTTTAAAAAATTACTATTAGTTAGAAATAAATATAAATATAATAAATATATTTGTAATTTAAAGTTGTTGTCTTCAAATTTAGATTAAATCCGAATAAATCATTACAGCGGAACAACTCCAAGATAAAAGAATTGTAAATTCTCACAATACAAGTTGATTGTTTATTAGACACAGTCAACGATCTGAAAGCGCATACATATTGGTGATCACAAGGACGAAAATTACAAAATAATTGATAATCCAATTCGACTGTAACTAGCCATTTAGGATTTCAACCTATATAAGATTCACTGTAAAAATCATTGAAGTACAAGAATATTTTGATACAATATGAGTACACACTTCAAGAAATCAACACACATTTCTTGATTGTTCCCTCAACCTAAAAACTATCTCATATTTTCATTGTCTCAATGTTCAATAATTTTTTTTTTTCACTATCAACACAACTAGAATATTTCACTCTTATTATATTTTCTCACTAGCATATATAATCATCTAGCAAATTCAATCAAGAATAAAATCTTTTTGTTTCACTATTTATCTATATCTCCACTAAGTTTGTTACAACCAAAATATGTCATTCCATCAAACTGGGGACCAACAACTCTATCAATTTCGATCACTTTTCCGTGTATTTGATGGATTAATCACTTTTGAGTTATCTTCTTATTTGATTAGGCTCAAGACTAATTGAGCTAAATCTGTCCATCCATCAATTTTCATTTATTTGTCTTTATTTTTACATCTTCATTTATCTGCTTCTATTTCTCCGTACTAAATATCCAATTTAGAAATAAAAAATTTAGTATTTATTTACAATTTGACCGCAGCTAAAAAACACCATTATATAAAGACAATTGAAAAATTAGACGCACAATTTATAAAAATTAGGAACAAATTTGATGCAACAATGAAAATATAGAAATTTTAAGCAATTTTGTGAAATCAACGGTGAGTTTTAAGAATTTTATATATAATAGAATGGTTGGCCTCCAAGTCTTGTATGCTAAGTCTAATGTAATTTGTCTTGTTAGTGTGATTCAGCCATTTTGCATTTAAAGATCCTCTGGGACGTCAAATTACAAAGTAAATATTTCGTTAAATATTTCATCTTATTTTTCATCACACATTACTTTTACATTAAAAAGTAGAAGATATAAATATTATCACATTACTTTTAACAACCTAATACAATTAAAATATTATTATTTTTTAAATAATATTATTTCTTGTTTACCTGATATATGAATGGATAATATTATTTTATTTTATTTTTAACGTGAAAATTCACAATCGCTTCCGAAAATGCGTAGGATAAATCTAGGCGAACAGATAATATTGTTTCTTGTTTACCTGATATATGGACAGAGGGAGAGGGAGTATAACGTTAACAATTAAAAAAATACACTCAAGCATAGTCACAACAGTCAAACAATAACACCCATTATTTTTTATTTTTTTTCTTAAAAACAAAAGAGTAAAGCAAACCGCGATTATCCTCCTTGTTTTATCTTTCCTGATATTGCCTTTCACATAGAAGAGACTCAACGAAGAAAATGGATTTGGCGTCAGCTCAGATTCTCTCCTCTCCGCCGCTAATCGATAACCATCTCCACACGCGCCACCACCTCCGCCGCCGTCTGCTCCCTCTAGCACTCTCAACACCTCCCGCCACCACGCTTCACATCCCTGTAAGTGTTCACCGACCAACCTCGCCTCTATCTCTGCCGAAATTGAATTCTTCATCCCCATGCTTTTTTCCTGTAGATTCGCCCCCATTTTTCCAGAGCATTACCCACCAGAGCATCAAAAAGGCCAATTCCACGACTCCTAGCATCAGCATCATCCTCGTCGTCGCAAATGATAGAAAAGGAAACCCCCGAGGCGGAAAGGCCCCACACATTCCTCCGAGAAGCAGACGAGAGTGTTACCGGTTCAGCCGATTCTGTTAGGGCAAGGTTCGAGAAAATGATTAGGGAGGCGCAGGATAGCGTCTGCTCTGCTATCGAGGCCGTGGATTGCGGTGCTAAGTTCAAAGAGGATGTGTGGTCGCGCCCTGGCGGCGGCGGCGGAATCAGCAGAGTTTTGCAGGATGGAGCTGTTTGGGAGAAGGCCGGTGTGAATGTTTCTGTTGTTTATGGAGTTATGCCGCCGGAGGCTTACAGAGCTGCTAAGCCCACGGACGATGGCAATGTCAAGCCAGGGCCTGTACCTTTCTTCGCTGCTGGAGTCAGCTCAGTAATTTTCCTTCTCTTTACTTAACACACACACATACATTCATATATATATATATATCTTGTTGTCGAACTTAATTTGCAATGAATGGTTGAGCTAAAAAAAGTAGATTATGTGGTACCTCTCGGGTTCGGTGAACTTATGTGGTTAGGGAGACTAGGGTGTGTTTGTTTGAGGGTTTGGTGTAGTACCCCGGAGTTGGACCGGTGCTAGGCCAACTTGAGTGGATGAGCCGGTGTCAGATCATGTGAAAGTTGAATATAGGATAAATGGATTTAACAGACTACTCAAGTCAATAATGTACACATTGTTTTTTGGGAGTTCTACCAAAAGAAATTAGAGTTAAGCGTAACTGCTTTAAAGTAATTTGAGAATGGGTGGCCGAAGTCAGAGTGCTTGTGAGTGAGGACGCTTAAAGTACTTGTGTAAATTAGTCTATAATATCGAAATGTCCGGTCTTGGGTGGCTTGTGGACCAGGGTGTCACAACCGACCTACGACCTCCCACAGTTGTTGACGTGACTGTTGAGGGTCCTAGTAGTTGGTGATCCTTTGGTGCAACGTACGTTGTATTCTTAAGTGGAGAGGATGTAATACCCTCGCAGTTGGGTCGGTGCTAAACCAACTATAGTAGATGAGCCGGTGCCAGGCTATGCGAAGTTGAATATAGGTTAAATAGATTGAGTAAATTGCTCACGTCAATAATGTGCACATTCTTTTTTGGGAGCCCTACTAAATGAACTAGAATTAAGCGTATTAGCTCTAGAATAATTCGAGGATTGGGAATCTGGAAAGTCTCCCAGGGTGCGCATGAGTGAGGACAAAAGCACGATGAAAGGACTCGTGTTTATCTATGAGACTAGTCTACAATCCCGACACACCCGGTTTTGCGTGGCTTGCGGGCCAGGGTGTCACATTTAGATTTTGGGTTTGAAATTTGAATAGTAAAAATTTTGAATTGAAACAATTGTGTGATTGCGACATAAATAGGTGTTATGTGATGGCTCCGTTCGTTCGAGCATTTTTTAATGAAATAATTTTTGGTGTGATGTACGGGGGATTGTGTCAAAAATATAAATATATTATTTTAAGTTGAATACGTGATTTTTTATTATAAATTTTTGACTTTTTATAACGAGTATTTTAAGTTTTTTTTTTTTTTAAATTATGTATAAAATATTTTGTGTTTCTTATTATTATTTTCGATGAATAGCAATTGAAAAATGGTGGTGGGAGAACAGAGCTTTTCATGTTTTGAATGTAAAATTAGTCTTTTATTTGCCTGTATATTTTGTTTAAAATACTTGGTGAGCTATCATCTTGTCTGACCTGCAGGTTCTTCATCCAAAAAATCCTTTTGCTCCAACTCTGCATTTTAATTACCGTTACTTTGAAACTGATGCTCCAAAAGGTACTCGGCACAATACTTTATTTGTGAATTTCTGTCTTTTTCTAGCACATTTTAGTTCTTAAATATGTTTTCAGCATTCATTTAACTTTTAGTATTTGTAATTATGCTTGGTTTTACTGAGTTGTATTTTTAGAAAGAATTTACTAACATAAGAATATATGGGCTTTTGGATGACTTCACGGAACCTTCGAGAATATGAATTTTCAAATTGTTACTTAAGAGCTTGATGTACAGAATGACTGATTTCTGTTCAAATGGGTGTGAAAGAAAATCCTCTGTGTTACTAATTTTAAGTGGATGCCTTGTCATTTATGTCAATTGTGAAACTTAAATGGAGAACATCCTTCTTATTATATTTGATTACTTCCTGTTTGGAAATTCGCCTCTCGAACACACACAATCTCTATGAAGCCTTGTGTCATAATTCTGTTCATTTTCAATCTGAGCAGATGCTCCAGGAGCACCTAGACAATGGTGGTTTGGTGGGGGCACAGATTTGACTCCTGCCTACATTTTTGAGGAGGATGTCAGGCACTTCCATTCGGTGAATACCCAGAACTGTATTTTTGCACTACATTGACAGTTTGCATCTATTTTTGCTTGAGAGTGAGAATCACAAAGGAAATTTGTTTTTTTTTTTTTTTTTTGAAAATTGGTGTACTTTTCTTTTCCTGATCTGGCAGATTAGTTTGGTTCCCATCTCTGAGCAACCTAGTTGAACATATATTTTGTTGATTTTCTTGTGTATATTGTAGGCCCAAAAAACTGCTTGTGACAAGTTCGATAGTGAATTCTATCCTCGATTTAAGAAATGGTGCGATGATTATTTCTATATCAAGGTATTACTTCTGCAACAGCTTATTACATTTTAGGATTGCATATTATGCTGCTGATGCATGTCTTCATTGGCTGACTTTTTCCATTTAGGGATATATTTACTATACTTGAGTTCAAAACTGTTGTGGGACTAAGGTCCCATATATCTTTAATTGCTCTCATTCTTTGACCATGCAGATTCGTAGAGGTTTGGTTGACCCAATGCAAAACATCTGCCTCTATTTAATATAATGTACTTTTATTTAGCTGATCATTTTTGTATTCTTATTTATGCTGGACACGTTGAATATTTAAATTTTGTTTTAGCAGCTAACATGCCTTTATTTTTATTTTTTTTGAAAAAAAAAAAATCACGGTTTTCATGTTTTGTGCAGCATCGTGGGGAGAGACGCGGTCTTGGGGGTATATTTTTCGATGATTTGAATGCATATGATCAAGAGATGCTTCTTTCTTTTGCTACTGGTAATTTCCAGGAAATGGGAAAATTACTTTGTGTCATCTGTGTGCTCAGTGCTGCCTTTTCCCCTGTTTTTTGCTCGAATAAGATATTGGGTGTACTCTCATTCTTAATAGTGTGCCTATGAAGTAACTAGGCAACACAAGCTATAACTTTTCAACAACTTGTCTGTTCAATTCACTTATAATTGGTAATTGCAGAGTGCGCAAATGCTGTTATTCCAGCATATATACCAATCATAGAGAGGAGGAAGGACACGCCATTTACAGACAAGCACAAGGCATGGCAGCAGCTGCGGCGAGGACGCTACGTAGAGTTCAACTTGGTAATAGCTGTAGACAATATTTCAGAACATGATATGAAATTGATATAATGTTTCCCATTTATGGTGGTAGGTTTATGATCGGGGAACTACATTTGGTCTCAAGACCGGTGGTAGGATTGAGAGTATTCTTGTCTCACTTCCATTAACTGCTCGATGGGAATATGATCATGTGAGTTTGATGATATGTGTGTTTGTGTGTGTGACTTTGAAAGGTGACATTAAGCAAATTTTATATGTTCCTGTTATGCAGCAACCAGAAGAAGGTAGCGAGGAGTGGAAACTTTTGGATGCATGTATCAACCCCAAGGAGTGGATCTGAGTTTTCATGTTGATGCCCTGTTTTGTTGGCCCTTTTTTAGTGTTCTTTTTTTTTTGTAATTTCATAAGTTCCAGAGTATTTTGTGCTGAGGCACCAATGTTGAACTCATTGTCATTTTGGCTCTTTGGTAATTGTTCAATGCAAGTTATTACGCTACAGTTTTAATTTTTAATTCAAATTTATTCTTAGGTTAGCAATTCTAATAGTTTAATTGAATGAGAAGTCTTATTATGTTTCATTGACATTAGATTGGGTCTTATTCTGGTACCCCAACAACAGCATTTTGATGCCTTTCACTTCAATATTTTTGTTTGATTGTAGTGATGAGTTATGCAAGGGCAACACTATTAAATGCATTGTATAATGATCCTGCAGTTGGAGAGCTGACAGTGATGTTTCAGACAGTGGTTCTTTGATAACTCTACAGAATTGCCCTTGCTATACTGGCTTGACATCTTTTTTTATCAACCCTGAATTTCCTGGAAATGTAAAGAAAAGAGAATCTCAAAGTCTATTGATAATTGTTAGGAGTGGACTTTGGTATTGGTATTTTGGTTGATGTTTGCAGGTAGCCTAAACCACACATGATCAAACTGATTGGGTTCGTGAGTCCAGGATTACAATCAAAGGAACTCAAATACAAATACAAATACAAATTGTTTTCTCCAGATCCATATTGAAGAAATGGCCGGTCTGAGCCCCTCATGGCTGTGTGATAACGTCAGTTTTAACAAGCACGTTGGAAGGACTCGTGACTTATGGGACCAGTCTATGATCTTGACATGCCTGGCTTTGAGTTGCTTGCAGGCCTGTCACAGTTGGTATCATATACAACGTGGATGTTGCATTCTAAAGTGGGAGATATAATACCCCGGAGTTACACTGTGGTAAGAATTCAATGGTTCTAATTTGTTCAAAGCCAAAATTTGACATACCGTGTCCATTTTGTCTTTTGGCAGCATATGCATAATCATTATACATTAAAATGTAGCAATGTTTTTTCTTGGTAACCCTGGTTTTTATGTGTGGAGAAATGCTTGGAACCAGTTGGCCTAGTGTCAGGCAAAGGACTTAAATATAGTCGATGTATGCACACACACACACACACACACATATAGTAGATATAGTTCCTTCTGAATTTTAGTGGGTGTACAGAGAAATTAAAGAAAGCAGATAGATGTTTGGAAAGATATATGAGCTTCAAGAACATAAGTCCACAAGAATTGCAAGCATTGCCCTTTCATATACTAAAAGAAACACTATACATCAGTCAAGTTTGGATTCGAGTACCTTTTGCCAAAGATCCTTTTGTCTTAAAGAAATACTGAGATGGGATCTTTTTACTAGAAGTGACTCATAATAGTAATGATCTCAAGATCACCCATTCACATGCATCCTAAATAGCTTTAGCTTCATGTGAAAGAATGCTTATTTTCTCCCTTGCCATTAACTTCATTTGATTGCATAACATTGTAGCATATCTTCGACCGGCCTGCGAAGCGCGGTTTTCATGCAGATGCTGTACAAAGCCATTAGCTTGGCATGCCTTGTCATGCCTTGGCATGGGCTTTGTTTAGAGGTCTGACTGTTTTGTGTACTTTTGGCATGCATTCACTCTCAATTCGACCCCCAGATTGCTGCTTAGAATGACACAGGAGCTTAGAATGACTACAAAAAACAAAAAAAAAAAAAAAACTCACTGTATGGAATCACAGCTTAAAAATAGCTTGTATGTAGATTCTTCTTAATTATTATTCTGGAAGTTATGCTGACTGCTGACCATACATTCACAGCATACTAAGAAACAAAAATGATAGACTGATAGGTACAGGTGTTGCCTGAATTTGTTAAGATTCACCATTGCTTTGCAGTTTTAGTATTATTTTTTTAATTGTTAGTTAATTAATTGATTTCCACAGGATACAGATGGGAAATCTTTGCACAGTACTTACTGAAGGAAAGAATTTCCAGATTCTGGTGGAATAATAAAGATACCTCCCCCAATATGGAGGGACAAGATTGTTTCAGGTCAAGTGGTGTTAAAATTCAAGAATTGTCATAATTGCCTATGAATATACCTAACCTATATGTGTGTATATATATATATATTTGTAGAGAAATCCTGCCTGTTGTGGTACTACTGTAACAGCAAAAAGTGGCAAAATCCAACTTCCCCAACACTTGGAGCCGACCTCAAAGGGTCTCCATTCTTCCTGTTCATGAATCTGGTTAGTATTCAGTACACCATTAATTTTGCTTTTGAGTTTTGTCTGCACATGCATTTCTACTTTCCTGCTTCAAATATTGACCTACCTTCTTGCACTACCAAGATTTTCAATATGTCCATTACACTTGGTACTGCAAAAGATGAATTGGGATTAGGCATATGATTAATTAGGACATAACAGCACCAAAAAAATGCATTCAAAGGTTGTGAATGTACTTCTGTTCTTCACCAGCTTAATTCCTTGAGTTTGTTGGTTTCCTAAGTTGTGTTTGTACCAAATATTGCTGTTCAAGTCCCACAAAGGTACTTGATTGCCCACCTCTAACGATCCATTCAATAACAAATATAATTTGATATTTTTTAAAAAAAAAAAACATAATTGATATTGACTAACAGTGTAGATGATGACAGGAAGTGGGCTGGAAAGACACTGCCCAAGTTGACCTCTTTAAGGTATCTTTCAATTTACATGGATTGTTTTTTTAGTTTGGATAGTTACTTAAGTTGGTGAATCTTTGTAAGGTGTGTTTGTTTGAGGGTCTGAATATTTGTTGGGACTGGCCCAACTCACACTAGTATGATTGGATTTGTTTGCCTCATACTAGTGGAGTTTATGCGGGACTGGGCCAACTCACACTAGTATGATTGGATTTGTTTGTCTCATATTAGTGGAGTTTGTGTGGGACTTATAAGGTGTTAGATTTTCTTCAAATCTTCTAATGTGGGACTTGGATTTGCACTCCAATACCGTCCAGTCCACTTCACCGTCAACCAGGCTTTGATACCACTGTTAGGACTGAGCTAACTTAGTATGATATTGTCCGCTTTGGGCTGAGCCTGCACTGATTTGTTTTTTTATTTCCTCCAAAAGGCCTCATACTAGTGGAGTTTATTTGGGACTTATAAGTGTTAGATTTTCTTCGGATCTTCCAAGACTTAAGGTCTGTATTCCTTAATAGTAAAATTTTGAATTTAAATAGATTTTTGATGTGATATAAATAGGTGCTGATAGGATATTTTAAAGTGTGTTTGCTTGGAGGTTAGGATTTTGAGTTTTGATTTTTAATAGTAAAATTTTAAATTGTAAAATTGATTTTTAGTATAATATAAAAAATAAGTGTTTGATCTTATATTTTTTGGGCCCCGAAAATTTTGTAGGAATAATAGAAATCCTCCAAAATCTCCGAAACAAACATTATTCCCGCAATCTGATATACTGTTTTCCATCCTCTGATCTTTCTGTTCTATAAATACTTGAATCTAACTCCTTCACTTTCACTCAAACACAAAATAAGCCAAAAGGCAATTCTTTGTTGATCTCATTTTCTTGAATCAATTTCTTATTTTGAAAAAAACATAAATAGTCATGAATCAAGCCAAGCTAATAGTAACTTGTGTTTTTCTCATTTCCCTTGTCGTAACTGGTGGAATTCTGCCTGCTGAAGGGAGGCTTTTGGTCGGTAAGGCAATCGGTAGAAACATACAAGGTGATATAAGAAACTGCGACAGGAAGTTACTAGATGAAATTTCTCACAATAGTCATGGACTTCGAGTGCATGATCTTGTCGGGGACACTGTAGATGCCCACCCCACGACGCCAGGGCACAGTCCTGGTGTTGGCCATGGTGATGGACCATCGAGCATTAGGCCAGAAGCCTGAATTCCCGAATTTAGGCTACTGTTAGTTAGTTCTATAGATGCATATTCATTTAATAATTGTGTGATTTATGATCATTGTATGCATTACATTTGTACTGAAAAAATTGTAGTTTGTATGAATTATGATACGTAATGTTTGTTGTTCAGCTCCTATTTTTATTCACATATTTGTAGTTTTTTTTTTTTTTTTTATCATCAGTGTAACATATTTGAATCAGCATTTTTCGATTGATCCTTTAATCGGAGGCTCGAATAGCTACCGGATAATGAAAGCTGCCTTCAGGAAGTGTGTCTCAGGGTCCTGTTTAAGGTAACTTTTGCATAATCATGTTCGCTAAAGAAGATAAAAATGTAATCTTTGGTCTTGCAGAAGAACATATATATATATTTTTTTTATGGTTTTGGTCATTTAATCTGATACGTGAATTATTTAAAGAAATAGTTATGCATTTTAAATTCTTCACGCTTTCATTTCCGTAGTAAGCATGCATGAAATCATGTGACTGGCATGACCAAAAATTGTTGTTATTATTATTCAACTGTTAAACAAAATATACAAAAAAAAAAAAAAAAGAATGCACCAGCCGGGAATCGAACCCGGGTCTGTACCGTGGCAGGGTACTATTCTACCACTAGACCACTGGTGCTACATGTTTGTTGCATGTTTTTTAATTTCTATCTTTTCATTTACAAGCAAATTGCCGAATAATAACGCTAGCTCTCCCATATATTGGAACAACAAATTTTAAATATATGATCGAGGAGAAACTAATAGAGCTTCAACACTTGAACTTAGACCCTTTGGTTGTATTATTTTGTTCGTTTTTGTTTTTATTTTTATTTTTTTAATAAAATCATTATTAAATATAATAGAATAATCTTTTAAGAGATTGAATATATATATATATAAATAATAATAATAACTTAGAAAAACAAACCTTAAAACTTTTGGGAGTGTTTGTATTTGTATTTAAATTAGAGCCGTCAAAATGTCAAAATGGATTGAGCCCGTCGGGTTGGTCCGCTCCGCCTTACTTTTAAGGAGGGTTGGGTTGTGATTTTTTAAGCCCGTTAAAATGCGGACCTAAATGGCCAACCCGCATGTGCCGCGGGTTGAGGGTGGGTTGGCTCGCAGTAAGACGGGTTAACCCGCGGGTCGAGTAGATATAATAATCAGTACTCACTCGTCTAACTAAATATATTTTTTTATCATTTTGTACTGTCATATTAAAAAATTATAATAAAACTAATCAAATATTAATATAAAAGTATATTTTAATTTTTTTATAAATTACAAACATACCATTATAAATAAGTTAAGACAAATAAAATAAAATTTATATTATCATTAGCTTAAATAAATTATTAATATTGTCTATACGCTTGTTTTTTTCTCTAACTATGTTATTCATGACATTGTTATTCGTTTCGATTTTTTATCATTTGTTTTGTTCCTCTTCCATTTTATTCTTTTATAATCTTACAAATTCATAAAATTAATTATGATTTATTTTTAAAATGAAGTATTTATTATTATTAATTTTTTTAAATACACCAATTAATAATATTTAAAATTGAGAATTTTTATATTTGTTATTTATTTTAAGATGTTTATTATTTAAATTCTATATTAAACTATTTTTAGATATTTTTAAATATTAATTACAAAAATATTAATATTCTATTAATATTTTTAAAGAGTCCGTGGGCTAGCCCGCTTAGCTCGCCACCTGCCGGTGGGTTGGATTGGGCTGATGAAATTTTGATCCGCCCCGCCGCGGGTTGGCCAGCAAACAACCCCTTATTTGCGGGTCAATCCGCCCACTAACCCGTTTTGACAGGTCTAATTTAAATAGTGGTTAATTATAATACTCTCTCACCGTTCAAATTTATGTTCACTATTTTTTTTATTATCAAAAAAATACATATAAATATATATTTTTTTTTAAGTAAAAAATTATTAGATTTTTATATTTTTTTATTAATCATTATTACTCACTTTTATTAAAGTTGATGCCCGATCAAATGAGCACATATTTTCGCGAGGAGGGAATATATGTTTATGAAATGTTGTTGAGATCGTATAGCAAAGGATTAAAGAAAAATAGATCTTGTTTACTTGTAGGTTTTTTACGGTGATTTTATCATTCATTTTTTTTTTCGAAAAACATCAAATCAAATACTTATTATTTATTTATTATATTACACCAAAATTTTATTTTCTTCAAATGCATATTTATATCCCACTAAATAATTATTTTAATTCAAAATTTTATTATTTAAAATTAAAATTCAAAATCAAAATTTTACAAATAAACACACCGAAATAATAGCTTACTTTAAGATTTTATGAAATGTAATATTATATTTTTAAATAAATTTGCTAACAAAAAAAAGACTCTAGTTCGTTTTGTTTCGAATTTTTATTTAGATTTTGATTTAAATAATATTTTATTAAAAAAATATATATTTAATTACATACAAACTGAATAGTTAAATTTTTTATTTAAAATTTAAATAAAAACCACCTTCCTAGTCTCCCAGCAAAAGAGATGATAATAAATAATAATAATTGGGAAATGCTCCAAAACAGTCTTGAGACATACTTAAAATATAAAATAAAATAAAATTCACATCAGATACACTCGTTTCTTTTTCTAAGTAACTTTTTAAAAAACCTCTGCCTGAACAGAGGAAATCTGAGAAAGTAGTTCATAATATACTGAATCAAGATTGTGTTCAACAAACCATTGGTAATTCAACGAAAATAGCTTGTTTGCATCAACTGCTGCAGCTGTTTTTGCTCGATACAAAATATATATATATATCATGTATCTACTCGAGTTCCTCGTTCGTCGATCTAACAGACGAGGCGTAGTAATGGGACTCGAGCTCCTTGAGTGTGGCTGCTGCATCTTCTCCAATTCTAGACAGCATGCCGTCTGTACTTTCTGCAAGTTTGTTGAACTCTGCCGTTCTCTGATCTACGTGGTCGTTGAGGGAAGCGAATCCTGAGAATATCGCAGTTTGCTTCAATTCGGAAACCAGTTTTAGCAGTGAGTCGGCAGCTTGAACCTGTGATTTCAAGCGCATTTGAGTAGAAACAATAGCGAATATTTTTCAAGCACATTGATAGATTCAAAAATTGGGATCAATTAGACGAAATGTCTCACCATTCTTGCTGCGCGCATCTCCATCATGAAAGACTCTTGCGAATTCCGTACCGGGGGATCATTGACCTGGAAAACATACCGATACATCATATGTTGGAATAATGAGGGGGGCATGAAATGCTCAATAAATCGAATAAAATTTAAGCAAGAAACAAAATGCAAAACGGAGAATTTGATAAACAAGAATGTCGTATTCATGGGAGGTCTTACAAAAACAAGGTTATATCCCATTTAGAAGAACCCGTGACAGCTCGAACCATTTTCTTTTTATTCCTAAAAAATAAAATGAAGCAAAATAGCTAGTCAACGATGTCTTTGGTTTACTAGAGACATACGCATTATTTATTTATTTATATGTTGTGGAGTCAACCAACACGATTAACACTCTTGCACACGGACAACGACAAATAGGGGCAGTGGGACTAGATCTAGGACCTACAAACTTAAGAATCATCTAAAAGGCGATTCGTGTTTGTTATATTCAAGCTCAGCTAAAAAGGGTGTTGCAGGTATAATTTAGTTCTTGTTAAGATCTTAGATTTAAGAATTTGCTCATTTTCTATAAAGGAGCCGAATGAAGCTAAAGTTTCATGTTCAGTTTTGAATTATAGACATTCTTAACAGGACTCTAACTTCGGTACAATTATCTAGGTTATATCTGATATAATCTTCACTATTGCAATTTAAATCCTCGATCTATGTACTTTCACTTTATTTCCCAAGTTCGTAGAAATTCAATCACCAACACTTAGATTATCACGGCTCAAATGCATATGTTTTAAGTTTCAACAAGGTCAGACTTACAACATACTTCCACGAGCATATACAATATACAAACATCTCGAATAGCCCGTCGATAAGCAATCTACTTAGTTAAGAAGCATTGTCGAACAACTGATTTCCTAGCGAAAACAAGATTAGAATGATATCATTCCATGTGCAAATTCGGGTAAAATTTGAGGATCAAGTATACCAGTTGATTATAACAACAGAGTTGAAGCAAATGTTACATTCGAGAACTAAGGTAAACAAACTCGATTCATTTCTTCTTTCCACAAAAAAATCAATATTTTTAAAACACCTTGAACATAAGGTTGAGTTCTACTGTGAATTTTACCACAAATTTTTACGTCGGATTCTTTTTTTCCTAAAAACAATATCAAATCAAACCATTACTTTTCTCTTTATATAGTCTCTGTTCCAACTCAAAGTATCCTTTTTACTAGTTTAGTCTGTGTCCCTCCGGTATCTATTTCCTGATTTAGTAAAATATCCTTATCCTTTATCTAAATAACAATATACATAACAAGAGTATTATACTATGAATCTATTTTAAATTTAAAACATCGTTTAACATATATTTACATCACATCAAACACTGTTCAAATTCCACATTTTACTATCAAAAATCCAAACCCACAAAACAAACACACCAAAAGGATTTTAGAGCATACCCGAGCTACGTTAACCAGGAACCCAAAATTGTCGATGAGGTTTCCAATGTCAGTATCCACTTTCTGCAGAAGGGTTTTCTGCTTCTGCACTGCTGCAGCTGCTGCGGCGGCAGTCGGCCCGGTGGCGGCTGCCCCACCACCGCCAGGTCCGCCGCCCAGGCCACCTCCTCCTTTATTCATTTCCACAATACCTGTAGTGTATTAAGTAATGTATACACTTAATGAGGAGACAACTTACAGATTACATTTCGGAAAACCTGAGTTCAAGACTCCACAAAAATAAGAAATACAAAAACATCTTAAATCTAAAAAAAATCGAAAAAGGAATGGTGTGTTCATCCAACAAAAAACAACATATATTATTCCTGATTAATATTACAAAAATTACACACACACATATATATATATATATTATAAGCAAGAGAGAAACACAAACCAATTGGATGCACCAAGAAAACGATGAGTAACCTACGAAACACATTAAGGTTGTACAAGACACATACCTTTGGCCAAAGGTTTTCGAAATCGCGCCAAACGGGGACAATTTCTGGAACCTACGAAATTAGGGTTTGACCCATCGATTTCTCTCTCTTGCTTTTATTCGTCGATCGGCCGCGAAGTTGCTACGAAGGAGGGGTTCTGGCACGGCGTGGTTCACCGAGCGGCGGCGAGGTTCGGCATTTTCCGGCGATGTTATTGAACGGCGTATTTCACGCAGCAGGATGGGTGAATACGGAGAAGGAAAAGGAGAAAAAACGAGCATGAAAGAACAGAATGGAGAGGGAAAAAGGAGAGAGAGAGAGAGGAAGGAGGCAGCGCTGTGGTTGCGTACAGTGTGTTAATTAGGGGAAAAACATTAAGGTTGTGTTTGTTGGAGTTTGGATTTTGAATAATAATAATTTTCAATTTAAATTGTTACACGATGTTGATGTGATTTTTGAATGGAAAATTAATTTTTAGTATAATATAAAAAATAAAAAATAGGTGTTTGATTTGATATTTTTTGAAAAAAAAAATCTAATTTCAAATAAACACACTCTAGGTTGTGATTTTCATGGATTTTATCATAAGTTTTTATTTTTTTTTTTATTTTTTTTATTTTTCGACAGAATTCGGGTTCGAATCAAATTTCGAGTTCAAATCGACAATTTGTGTGTTATCACATGGCTCAACTCTATACAAACACACGATCCGCAAAAAACAAATTGATACAGGTGAGTAATAATTTAGTTATAATTAAAAATTACTCCCTCCTTTGTTGCCAAATGTAATTAAAAATTAAATTTACATTTCAATATAATTTCAAATAATTTTAATAGTAAAAACATGGTGTAATTGAATAGTTGTGTAATTAAATATTAAAAGAAATTAAAAAAAATTGATGAATAGTTAAATTTTAAGTCGAATTTTCCAAAAGAAAAAACATGGTGAACAATTTTTTATATTTTTATACATTTTAGTTATATTATGATTACTATGAAATTTTTTCTACTGTACACCAGCCTTAAATATGGTCATGTGACAAATTATACACAGTCGTGAGACAATATGATTGTGTTGTATTCAAGTTAGTTGTCGCGTCTCAATCTTGTTACGTTCACGTCAACTATTTTCATTAGTTTTTATTTTTAAAAATATGACCAAAATTAATTGGAATTAAAATAAATGAATTTTTAAAATTACCACCAAAATTAATAAATTTTAATTATATTAAAATTAAAATTGAATTTGTTCAATTTTTAAAATATCTATATTTTAGTATATAATTTCAAAATGTATTTAACAGAATGGCAAAAACATAAATGAAAATTAAAACACGTGCTAAGAGACACACTGTCCATTACTATAACTCAAGCCCGCCATTAAAACTTGAACCCTTTCTTCTCCACAACGATGTTCGAAATCTGCAGGCAGACGACGACGGAGGATCTCACACTATCAATAGGGAGTTTCGTTAATTCGCCGAACCAGAAGATGCAAGGTAACTCAGCTGAAGGCTGTAAGCTTCTTTGAGCTCCGCGAGCACTTCCGAAATACTCGGCCTGCGCTGCGCATCTCGTTCCACCGACCTGCAAGCAATCAACGACGCTCTTCTCATGCTCTCACCGTCGTAAGTCCCCTTAATGCTCTCATCCACAATCTCAAATGCTCCCGCCTGTAAATATGGCTTAGCCTGGAATTTGTTTTTGAAGTCAGCCTATATATATAGTAAATTAATTCATTCGAAGGGGAGAAGAACAATCGAAGAAGTTCAATTACTTACCCACAGAACTAAATTGAAGGAATCAGGACTGCCTGTGTGAGTTAGAGGCTCCCTACCGCAAATCAGTTCGAGAAGCACAACTCCGAAGCTATAGACATCGCTTTTCTCGGTGAGTTGTTGAGTAGAATAGTACCTGATGAAGATGCATTATTATTATTATTAGAATGTTTGAATTAGGTTTTAGGTTATGGAGGAAAATGTGCAATCAAATTTTGTTCCACTGGTTTTTGTTAGATATGTTAGATATTTTGTTTATGATTTTAGACTACTTTGTTGTAGTTGTTATTATTTGATTCTATCAAGTTTATATCACTTCTATTTATAGTTCTTGATTTCATTATTAATAATATATGTAACTCTAAAATCTTACAAATTATAACATGATATTATAGTTACGTTCCTCCGGATACATCCAAAATGAAATGTACCCGTAGTTATCCGATTTTGAGATTCTCAACTATGCCCATTGCCCGCAGTTGTTCTTATGTTAATTGTCAAAAAAAATTTTGCTTAGTTTCAATAAAGTTCATATATATAGCCTGTCTTAATTCCAACTCTTACAATACTGAGAGCCTTGTTTTTTACTCTAATATCGTTGAGAGGTCTGGTTTTAGTCTAACTCAGTTAAGAGTGCTTTTGAATCTGATTCAACGACGATTTTGGTTGTATCATCTTCGATTTCTCTAAGTGGGTTTCTATGATACTGTTTGAATTTGAAAGAGGATGTTATATATTTATTTTATAGTTTAGATTAGGTTGTTATTCTTTTAGTTTGTTTACTTTGTATAACGTAGATTTATAGGCTATTGATTACATTATTTATAATATATATAACTAAATTCTGCAAAATGTAACAGTTTGGAATTGGATTCTTACTCTGGATCAAGATAGCCTGCAGTGCCTTTAACTATGGTGGTTACATGTGATGCATCTGCTTGAGTCACTTGCTTCGAAAGGCCAAAATCGCAGACTTTAGCATTCATTTCCTTATCCAGAAGAATGTTGCTGCTTTTCACATCTCTGTGGATTATTCTCAGATCACTTCCATTGTGAAGGTACTCCAAACCTGTTGCAAAAAGTGATTTATTTTTAGCCTTAAGATCTTAAGTGAATTTGAGATGAATGAAAGAAGCATTCATTCACCTTTTGCAGCATCAACTGCAATTTTCAGTCTTCGAACCCAACTTAGTGTGAGTTTCTTACTGTTGGCACCTGTTCAAGAAAGTAAATAAAATTCGGCAGCTTGTTAATCGGGGAGAAGGAGAACAAGCAAATGAACAAAAAGCTGCAGCAACAGACCATAAAGATTGTCAGCTAAGGATCCTCCGGGTAAGTATTCGTAGATAAGAATTTGTTGCTTTGACTCACAGCAGAACCCTTCTAATGTTACTAAATTCTGATGATGGATTTGTGATAAAAAAGATACCTGAAATCAATCAATGGAAGGCTGTTCGATAACAAAATGAAATAGAAGTTATGGTAGGGGCATAAATATGAGCATTGTAGACCTCATTGATGAAAGAATCAGCTCCCAGCTGAGATTTATCGAATCGAACTTTAACAGCAACTGGTTTACCACCGGGAAGCTTGCCAGTGTACACACATCCGAAACTTCCGCGACCAATGGCCTCTTTAAAGTTGTTTGTAGTAGATTTGATCTCTTTGTAGGTAAAGAATCTTGCTGAATCCCATCCACTCATATCCAGTCCAGGCTCTGAAAGTCGAAACAAGGAAAAACAACCCTTTAACTGAATGAATTGTTTGCGATGTTTTTTTCTTTTTATTAGAGATGACAATTGTTGAAGTTGCCATACTCGATCCAAATGTGTTTTCAGATTTCTTTCTTTTCATGTACAGGAGAACTGAAAATGAAACAACAAACAGAGCAAGAACAGCTCCCCCGACGGCGCCAAGTAGAACTGCTAAATGTCTGTGGTTGTTGCGTTTCCTCGGTGCAAAGATAGTGACTTGAGGATTCTCAAGTGAAGGAGTTGTCGAAAGTTCAGTACATGTTAAGGAGAAGGAAAGGCATAAGTTCCCTGATGTCCTGAAAATGCAATGGGAATGAAAGCCTACGTAACGAAAACTTTAGACATCAGAAACAAAAGAGTGATTAAACTGATAGCTCACCTGACTTCTACACTTTCTCGATTCAGTGTTTGTGGGAGAGGTCCTTGTAGATTGTTGTTCTCCAGATTCCTTAAATTTTCCGAATGGAAGTTAAAAATACAGGCATTGTCAGGTCATTTGCAGCTACTAAGCTTATGAGAATACTCACAAGAAATGAAGATCTTTTAGCTCTCCCCAGCTCTCAGGTACTGTTCCATGTAAACTATTATTTTGAAGATCCCTGCACATAAACATTACAGCTTTTTATTCATAACTCTCAGACTAAAAGATAGAAAACACTGAAAAGATTCTCTGTTAAAAAGTGACTAACAGGACTTCAATGTTGGTCAGATCTTCCAACTCCGAGCCCAGAGATGTTATCTTGTTGAAGCTTAAGTTCCTGCCCCAGTAAATGTAATCAATGTAAGGATTTCTGCTGCCTAATGTATCAAGTTATCGATTAATATTTATCGGATGAGGTCATTATACAGTTTCTCAAGATGTTGCAGGCCTCCTAAGTTTTGTATTTCTCCAGCAAGAGAAGTGTTATGCAAGTCCCTATGAAAACAAATAATTGGTGAGATTCCACAAAATCCAAACAAAACCATACATTTGGTGCAAATTGTCTTCACAAAATTCTTACAGTTCTTTAAGATCCAGCAGATCACCAAATGTAGGATTGATTGTCCTCAAGTTAATGTCGAAAAGTTTCCTACAGACAGTTCAAGACCAACAGTGAGACTGTGAGATCACTCAAAACATGAGGTGAGAAAAAGAAATTTTGAATGCGTGGTTAACTTACAATGAAGTGACGAGATTTCCATCACATCCGACATGTTCCCATGGCGTAGGCGAACATGGATCATCTTGCCATCCCAGATCCAGCCCTGTGGATTGCTGTATAACCTGAAGAGCTGAAACTACAATGGAGACAACATCTTTTAGCTCGAATTCAGCAAATCAAGGCTTATAAATGTAACTCGTACCTGCAGTCGAAGAAGATTCCAAGGGAATATCTACAATCTCATAAACCTCGAGAGCATTCACCAAAGGATAGTAGCTTATTGCCTTCAAGGTAATGTTCAATGTTCTGATTCCTTTTAAAGTAAAGAATAAACTATTCGCCTCCCACTGCATCACCGTGTAGTTTGATTGCACAACGTCTCCATTAATTAGTATATCAAATGCAGGAGAGACAGGCAGAATTCCAGCAAAGTAGAGAACAACATGGTAGTCGCCTTGATTATCTAACGGCAGATTGTACACCAAACTGTTCCTTCTAGCCAAAACTCGCCCGGACTGGAGAACAGCTGTCGGGGGAGCTTCTTTGATGTTTGACAGACTAAAGTTACTTTGGATGTCGAAACCAGATGAGACATGGTAAGGGGAGAAATCCTCGTCAGCGCTCCATATTCGATCATATGGATCCAAAGGGTACCTTAAAATAGCAAAAACAAGATTATCCAAAGTCACAAGCTGCCCAAATTCAGGAAATTGGATCTGTAAAACTTCTGATTCTTACCTTAAGGATCCATCATTGTAGCCACAGTTTATACGGTATGACTTCCGGAGCAGCTTATCAGTAGAACTTCCCAGTGCACTTCTGTAAGCTCCCGGAGGAATCGGCCGGAGTTCAAGTGATGAGATAACTGGAACTCCACCATTCGGAATTGAGTAAAAGCACAATGGTAGAAACTCCTTGTTAGCTGGAAATATGAATTCTTCGATCCATGGATCAGTGTGAGCAAGATTCACAGTGGCAGACATGGCTGTCCCTAGAGAGACAGAGAAAACCGGAGGCTTCCCTAGCTGGTCATAGTTCTTGTACACGAATTGCGCTCTGACAAGAACCAAAGATGAAGAATTCTGTAATGGCAGCCTGTAGCACATTCTGGCAACTGAATCAGGGAAGAATCGGACAGGGAGGGTTGTTGATGAACTACCCTCGGGAAAAACCACACTAGTTGTGTTTCCGGAGGTCACATAATCTCCATCTGGCGTCCATGAAATGTTCGAAGAATCTATATAGCTAGTAGCCCCCCCACAAGTTAAGCTCAAGAAACCTGTTCCATCGACAAGAAATAAAGAAAACAAGGTATGCATTTCCATTAATTTAATACAATGTTACTACCAACAAGAAAATTGATGCAGATCCACATACCATCTTGGTAGCTAAGAGCGTGGGCGATAAATGCAGGAAGTAAGAACAAGAGGAAGCAGTCGAAGTGCCGGAGCTCCATGATTCATAAACTGTCTCGGATTCGATGATAAGGATAAGTTTGTCCAGCAACAAGATTCTGGTGATAAAAAGGAGAAGGTTAGGAAGACGGTCATGAAAGGTCAGTTTTCTAGCTGTTGATTAAAGTTACATTTGGCCAAAATAAAAAACACAAAAAAGTGAAACTTTTGATTGTTGCATTGCATGCTATGTTAGATTGTGAGCTGTTGGGGGAGAAAGTAATTATGAGTAATGGTGGTGGTGATGCTTTTTGGCAATGAAAAATGGTTCTGTTGATATAATGTGTTGGTTGCCTTCGAAGAGAGTGATGATACATTTTCATTATTTAAAATATATCATCACTTATATATATTTCTTGAAGTTCCATAAGGGTAGGGTTGGCAAAAAAACAAGCATTGTCCGAAATTCCACTCTGAGCCCGGCAAAAAAAAAAAAAAATATAGTGTTTGGATTTCCAAAAGTAGACTCGACAATTTTTGAGCCATGTCTGCCCAATCCGCTAATAAATAAGGTCGTGTCAGGGTCCATGAAGGTTGGGCGATGTAATTTGATGGTAAAATTGTAGGTTTAATTTCTAATTAGATCATTTTAATAGAACATTTATTAAATTAATTTAAAATTAAAAAAAAGTAGAAGAATAATAATTTTAAAAAAATCAAATTAGCTTGGTTTCAAACCAATCGTGCTTATGAGTTGATGCACTTTTGGTTTTTGAGTGTAAGTTGGGGATTCGATTTGTATTGTGTTTATTTCTCCTTTGTATTGGTGGTGTGGGTGGTGACAATCTTTAAGCAAATAGCTTCGGCTAATCGAAGAAAAAGAAACCTTGTTTGATCTTTTTGACTTACAATGATAGCAAGAAATTGTATAACGTTAGGGTGCATAGGATGCTTCATTTTGAAGATGTATTTGATTTGATTTGATTGTAAATTGTAATCTTGCAATTATTCTTCATTCTATAGTTAAAGTCAAGTCAAGTCTTCCTCATCAAGGAAGGGAATGAATGGCCTTTGGCCTTTAATCATCATCACCTACTCTTCTTCCCCAACTTTTTCAAATCTTCCATGTCTATTCAAATACCTTTTAATATATAAACAAACAATATAAGTGTTTTTATCTTGAATTTTATTCACCAAAAGAAATTTATTAAAACAATATATTAAATCAAATATTTACTTATAATTATTTTAATTCAACATTTTTACGAGCGTAAAATTCAAACCCTCGAGTCTTATTGGGCCACTCTTTCTAGTAATGGGCTTTAAACGAAAGGCTTATAAAAGCCCAACTACAGTTTTTAACTATGTGTTTTTATTTTACATTTTATAAGTTATTGTTATTTAAATTGGGTGCTAAACTGTTCATTTATTATGTAATTGGTTATATAAGGATATGAATTGCGGTAAACACTTTCGACAGATGCCATCAGCGGTTGTGGAGAAGAAACGGTACCGAACACAGATTGAGGAAGACAAGAACAAATGGCGGCGAGGCACCTCTCCAGGCTCAAAAAGTTCGTCGTTCCACTTTCTACAAATACCCGCCATTTTTGTACAAGACCTGCATCCAGCCCCCTCAATTCCACTACCAGTACTTCTTCCTCCTCCACCTTTCCCCAAAACCCTACTAAAACCCCTCTACAGAAATTGCCATTTCCCCCTCACTCCACGTCGCGTGTGCCTCTGACTAGGGATGGAAATTACGACGAAACGGACGAGCAATCGTTCCCAATTTGCCCTGGATGCGGTATACATATGCAGGATTTTGACAGCGAACAGCCTGGTTTTTTCGTCAGGCCAGTGGAGAAGGCTCCTGGCTACAAAAAGTTCAAAAAAATGGCTCCAATTCTGGATGAATCCGAAATATCGGATTCTCTGAAGAAGGGGGTGATGAATGAGATTCTTGAAGTTGAGAAGCTCGAAGGTGTTGGGATTGAAGACAAGGTGTTTGATAAAATGCCTAGGAGAGCTGAAGCCGTTAAAACAGCGTATGAAGAAAATTTGAGCAAGAAGCCAATTGTGTGCACAAGGTGTCACAGTTTGAGGCACTATCAGACAGTGAAATACCCCGGCGTCGAGAATCTATTGCCGGATTTTGATTTTGATCACACCGTCGGTCGGAGATTGGCCTCTGCAAGTGGCTCCAGATGTGTGGTGCTGTTGGTGGTCGACGCCACCGATTTCGACGGTTCATTTCCTCGAAAGGTTGCGAATTTGGTATCGGAGACGATCAACGAGAAATCGAGAGCGTGGAAGGAAGGTAAACCAGGGAATGTACCAAGAGTTGTGTTGGTGGTGACAAAGATTGATCTTTTGCCGAGCAGCATTTCGCCTACGGGACTCGAATACTGGATTCGGACACGAGCACGAGAAAATGGGGTGGGGAAATTAACTAGCTTGCATTTGGTTAGTGCTGTTAAAGATTGGGGAGTGAAAACTTTGGTAGATGATGTGATCAAATTTTCCGGTCAAAGAGGAAATGTGTGGGCAGTCGGGGCTCAAAATGCCGGAAAGAGTACGTTGATTAATGCAATAGGAAAGTGTGTTGGAGCGAAGGCAACTCATTTAACGGAGGCGCCGGTGCCCGGCACCACGTTGGGGATTGTGAGGGTCGAAGGATTGCTCCCGGGGAAAGCGAAGCTGTTTGATACTCCTGGCCTATTGCATCCGCATCAGATTTCGACGAGGTTGACGATGGAGGAGCAAAAGCTAATTCATGTGACTAAGGAGTTGAAGCCAAGAACATACAGAATCAAGGTTAGTTTTACTGTGCAATTAATTTTTATTTGCTTCGAACACATTGGTCTGTCTTGGTTAACTTCATTCGGTATTGATTCGCTTGTTGAAGAAATGTAGTTTTGGTAATCATGGAATGCTAACTTTTGTCTTTTATTATGACTGTTTTCAAGAAAAATATGCTTTTGATTGTGTTCTACTGTGTTATATATATAGGTAGGAAATTCGGTTCACATTGGCGGGCTCATGCGGTTGGATGTAGAAGAATTATCCGTAGATTCGATTTATGTTACAGTATGGGCCTCGCCTCTGCTTCCCTTGCATATGGGAAAGACCAAGAATGCTTGCTCGATGATCGACGAACATTTTGGTTATCAGTTACAAGTATGTTCTCGCCCCTAATTAATCTTATCCGTTTCTAACTTGCTTTGCCTACTTGTTTGTGTTTTTAAAATGAAGCAGTGTTTTATGGTTCTTTATGCTCTTGGGAATAGGATAATGCGTTTCACCTGGTATGTTGTTCTTTATAAATAGGCGTTGGATGCGATATTTGAATACAAAAATAAGCTTGTAATGTAAAATTTACCTGCAAAATAAGTGTTTGGATGTAATATTTTTTGAAAAGTGAACTGTTGATGAATGGTACAAAACAAGCTTGATAACATAAGCAAACAACGTAGTTCGGTGCTAATTTAAAACGAAAAAAAGAAAAAACGGATGTGTCTTAATCTTTTGTTATGTGGGATTATTTCATTGTTCTGATCGATGTTGTTGTCTTGTTGATGTGTGTAGATAGTCATTTTGGAGTTTTGAAAAAAATTTATATGGTAATTTTTAACGTGATATTTTTTAGAAAAGCTATTGTTGATGAATAGTATCAAAAGTGTCTGTATAAACAGACTCGAATGTATGAAAAAAACCATAAACTAATTTCGCAATTTTGTCTTGTTTCAAGCCTCCCGTCGGCGAAGGAAGAGTGGAACAGCTTGGGAAGTGGACGAGAAAAGAGTTTCTCGTGTCGGGAACCGGGTGGAATTCGAGTTCAGTCGACATTGCAGCTGCTGGTCTCGGCTGGTTCGCCATTGGACTCAAGGGAGAGGCTCGGCTAGGCGTATGGACCTACCAAGGCGTCGACTTAATTGCTAGAAAATCTCTGCTTCCTCAAAGATCCCACCAATTTGAAGTCGCGGGTTTTACAGTGTCAGAGATCGTCTCCAAAGCTGACCGAGCTAGAAATCTGAAGCAGCAAAAGGAAAATAAGAGTCGAAAAGCTAACTTACCGGAAACCTCATTGTCAGCATCTTCAACAGCCGACGATGATTCGAATTCCACCCTCGTTGATTCGACTGCATCGCCGTCTGACGACACCGGAACCTCAGATTCAGATGTTGCCGCGCCTTCAGAGTTCCTGATCGATCGCCGGAATCCTTTGTCGACTGTCTGAATCTGAAAAGGTTTCATCAATGTCTTGATCCTAATTCTAAACATGCTACATTGTGGAAGTCAGGTATTTACCGAAAAAGATATATTTCTTTCGTTCCTCAAATTTAATTTTTTGTTTTTTTAATTTATTATTAATTTTGGTAAAGTCAAAATTTTTAATAGAATTTTTGTTTTTTAATCTCCGCGTCCGGACCTAATTGGGTTATTTTTAGATTGTAAATGGACCAATTAGAACTTATTCTAACTTAGTAGTCTTTTAACTTTGGTGATTACGTAAAAGTCTGATTATATATATTTATATTAATTATTTTATTTAATTGTATTAATGAAGAGATTGTTAATTATTTAGGTGTTGATTAAAATCTCTCTGCAATATGATCTATGTTGAATATATATATATATTCATATTTGTTTCATTAAAATAAATTATTTTATTTTACATAAATTATACTCTCTCTCTCATAATTTGTAATAGGTAGTTAAAAGGTAGTGTAAAAAATATTTTGCTCTTATTTTTTATTGTTATAATAACAATGTGAATGGAAATCATTGTTTAAGTGAAATCAACACATATTCTGTGTTTCTTGAGAATGTATTTTTTATATAATGTATGAGAAATTATTTTAATAATATAAAAAATAATATTTTATATTAAATTGTTTATTGTTTACCGGTAGATAAAAATATATATTGTAGTTTTCAAATAATATTTATGGAGAATCGTGTCACAATAAATACTAAAGTGACAAACCCAATGTTAATATTGATTTTAGAAGAAGGTGAATGTATTTTTTAATAATTACTTATGAAGAATTGAATTTGTAATATGAAAATAATAATATTTCGTGTAATTACTTTTTGTGAGTAGATAAAATATATATATTATACTCCATCCGTCCAAGCTAAAAGTATACAATTACGATTAAAGAATAATAGTATTTTAATTATAGTGGGTAGGTAAAAGTAGTAAAATGACATTTTTGTCTTTACTTTTTTGGTATAAAAGTAATGATGTGATGTAAAGTAGAAGTATTTGTGGAAAAAATTGGGTATTTAATGAAATGATTACTTTATAATTGGACGTCCCAAAATAGAAATATGTATACTTTTTAATTGAGGGAATATTATTGTATTGATATATATATTATTTCTTTAATAATATTTCTAAAAAAATCATGATAAAAAAAAAAAAAAAAAAAAAAAAAAAAAAGGGAGAGACTAATAAGTGAACGCACCCAAACAAATGTAAGTATGTTAAATTTTCAATACTCCTATTAAATTAGTGAGTTTTCAATCATTAATTAATATTGGAATAATTGATTGAGGTGCTATTTATATACATTTTGTTTGGGGGATTTTATCCTTAGGGTGTTTTTTTTTGGGGGTTTAGATTTTTTATAGGGATTTGAATAGTAAAAAAATTGAATTTGAATAGTTGTACGATGTGATATAAAAATGTATTGATGTAATGTTTTGAATGTAAAATTACTTTTTTAGTAAAATATAAAAAAATAAAAAATAAGGGTTTGATTTGATGTTTTTGGGGAATAAAATTTGTGTGAATGGTATAAATTCACACAAATCCTTCAAACAAACACACCCTAAATATACTATTCATCCAAAATTTTTCCTAAAAAAAATAAAATCAAACACTTATTTTTTATTTTTTATATTATACTAAAAATCAAATTTATATTCAAACATCACATCAGCACTCATTTATATTACATCATACAACTATTCAAATTCAAATTTTTTACTATTCAAATTTCACCTCATAACCCAAATCCCCAAACAAAACACACCCGATTTATCTAATTTAGTCATACTGTTAGAATTATTATTATTATTATTATTATTATTATTATTATTGTTATTGGGTCAATTAAAGGTGGTGTTAGTTTCAAGGTTGAATTTACTACATTCAACGGACCTATAAAATTACTATTCTTGACCTTAGATTTTCATATTCGATGAATAACTTCATTGCATTTCATTCGGTGTAATATTAATCTTTATTGAGATATAAGATTTGTTCAATTAATATTTTTTACTATAATGATTCTTCATTAATAGTAGTATTATTTTAAAATATAATGTACATGTATTTACACAATATATATATATTAGTTACTCTTAAAAAATTAATAAATTAATATAAATATTATTTTTTATATTATCGACACAATTTTTCACATTTAATATGAAAAAAATTCATCCAAAAAAACTTTTGTTCACTCTGGGTGTGTTCACTGTATTGTTTTTTTGAATGAATCGTGTTTTTTACTTTAGATATGATAAACAGTGTATGTAATATTAAAAAATATTTTTTTCTATTGAATTAATAATTTGTTGTGAGTGAATAAAATATTTTTTTCTATTGAATTAATAATTTGTTGTGAGTGAATAAAAAATATATATAATATATATTGTGTGTGTATGTTCTTTTATTTATTTTTAACATACATCGAAAACCAATATAGATGGAGGGCAGAGGAATTTTAATTTAACACATGCTCAATCATTAAAAAGTTCACTATTCTTAATAAATATATTTTTATATATATATACATATATAAAATTAATATTTTAATTGTTCAGTAAAACTTTAGCATTTTTTTATCGCAAATATGCTATATTTTATTTCAATATTATGCTGAATAGTTAAAAATTAATTACTATTAATTAATACAATTACATAATATGATGATTATAAATATATATTTATGGTGTGTTTCATTTGTAAAATAGTTTGAATAAATATTATTTTTAGGTAAGATATATGGAATTATGTATATAATATAAAAGTGAGTAATATGTGTAATATAATATTTTAGTTACATATCAAGTGTTTTGAAAATATTTTTTCAACATCTTACTGAATAATTATAATTTAATTATATATATTTATATTAATGACATGATTAAATAGTATAAATTAATAATATCTAAGTACTCAGCATGCACTGAATTCAAATTGGTTAGTAGTGATTTTTTTTTTTTTTTTTGATAAGGTGCTAAATTGTTTGTTTTAGCAGCCAATGTTGATCCTTAAAATCCTTAAATTCATATGATAAATAATTATATTAATTATATAATTTAGATAATTATATTTTAATTCATTCGGCACACGTGCTGAAATAAGCACCTAATCCTTTTTCTTATTTTTTTTGAAAAAATGTGGGCAAGAAAAATACTAAAAGAAACACACTTCTAGTCTTTTAATTATTCAGCAAAATTTCAACTGTAACATATGATTTGTTAAACTAATATGGATAAGATGCCTAGATATCTGAATAATTAAAAATTAATTACTATTAATTAATACAATTAAATAATATTATGATTATAAATATATAATTAAGGTGTGTTCGATTTGTAAAATAGTTTGAAAGAATATTATTTTTAAATGAGATATATTAAATTATGTAAATAATATAAAAATAATTAATATGTATAACATATTACTTTTGTTACATATAAGGTGTTTAAAAATATTTTTTTTAAACACCCTACTGAGTAGTTATAAATTTATTATATTATTATATGATTAAATAGTATAAAATAATAGTAAATAATATCTAAGTATTCAACATGTCTTCAATTCAAATCAGTCAGTAGTGATTATTTTTTTATTTTAAATAAAGTACTGGATTGTTAATTTCAGCACCCAATATTGATCCTTAAAATCCTTAGATCTATATAATATTTAATTCTATTTTAACTCATTCAGCAACACCTGATTATTTTCCTTATTTCTTTTGAAAAAATGTGAAAAAAAAAAAACTAAAAAAACACACTTTGAGTCTTTTAATTATTCATCAAAATTTCAATCTCAACATATAATCTTGTAAACTAATATAGATAAGATGCTAAGAGATTTTAATTTCTGAATAGTTAAAAATTAAGTACTATTAATTAATAAAATTAAATAATATTGTGATTATAAATATATAATTAGGGTGTGTTTGATTTGTAAAATAGTTTGAAAAAAATATTATTTTTAGGTGAGATATATAGAATTATGTATATAAAATCAAAATGATTAATATGTGTAATATATTATTTTTGTTACATATCAGGTGTTGAAAAAAAAAAAAAAAATCAACATCATACTGAATAGTTATAAATAATTTATATATATTTATATTATGATTAAAAGTGTAAATTAATAGGAATTAATATCTAAGTATTCGGCATACCTTAAATTCAAATGAGTTAGTAATGATTATTTTTTTGTTTTGTTTTGGATAAAGTGTTGAATTGTTAGTTTCAACATTCATATTGATCCTTATTTAATTATATTAATGATATATCTTAGGTAATTCTAGTTTCTGTTCTAAGTCATTCAGCACCCGTGCTAAAACGAGCATATGATCATTTTCCTTATTTCATTTGGGAAATGTGCGGAAAAAAAATAAAAATAAAAGAACACACTTTTAGTCTTTTGATTATTCAGCAAAATTTCAACTTTAATATATGTTTGTTAAACTAATATGGATAGGATGCACCGAGAAATGAGTAGTTAAAAATTAATTACTATTAATTAATATAATTAAATAATATGATGGTTATAAATATATAATTAGGTTGTGTTTGATTTGTAAAATAGTTTGAAAGAATATTATTTTTAGGTGAGATATATTGAATTATGTAAATAATATAAAAATAATTAATATGTATAATATATTATTTTTGTTACACGTGTTTGAAAATATTTTTTAAACATCCTACTGAATAGTTATAAATTTATTATACATATTATATTAATTATATGATTAAATAATATAAATTAATAGTAATTAATATTTAAGTATTCAACATGCCCTGAATTCAAATCAGTAGTAATGATTATTTTTTCATTTTGGATAAGGTGCTGAATTGTTAGTTTCAGCACCCAATGTTGATCCTTAAAATCCTTAAAATATTAATTATATAACTTAGATAATTCTATTTTAATTTATTCAACACACAATGCAGAACCTGATCCTTTTCCTTATTTCTTTCGGAAAAATATGCAAAAATAAAAAAGCTAAAAGAACACACTTTTAGTCTTTTTAATTATTCATCAAAAATTTCGCTTCAACATATAATGTGTTAAACTAATATAGATAAGATGTCAAGAGATTTTAATTTGTGAATACTTAAAAATTAATTACTATTAATGAATACAATTAAATAATATTGTGATTATAAATAAATAATTTGGGTGTGTTTGATTTGTAAAATAGTTTGAAAAAATATAATTTTTAGGTGAAATATATGGAATTATGTAGATAATA